CAACCCCCAGAATACGAGTGTAGTCGATGCCATCGCACAGACCATGGTTGGCGAGTGGATGTTCAAATATGTCCGCAGAAGAAAGTCTTTCGGCGTTGCGGAGAGTAACGGCAAGGACGATACCGGCAACGATCGCCACAAACGATGGGTCTGGCTTGCACCCTATGAGAGGGCTATCCTCTGGAGTAGCAAGCAGCCATCCTCTGGCAGCGCCTTGATGGGTAAGGCTGGCCGAAAACGTAAGTTGCTCCCACCAATTCTATGACTGATACTAACAAACACAGTGACTATACAATCTGTTCTCGATGTCAAGGATGATAACGCTCCACCAAAGGGAGTCGCAACAGTGTTCAACCGATCGATTCTTATCTTGACACCACAGAGAGCTCTCAAGTTCACGGCAGATTCTGCTGACCGGCACTATATCTGGTTGACAGCTTTGTCATTCCTTGCACATTCATCACAGGCAGTTCCTGAAAACATCTCTGCACCACCGCCAATACAGCAAACGCCACTGCCAGACTTTGAGGCTCCTCGGCCCAAACTGAAACGGGGTGGAATTAGAGACTCTATCCGTCTTGCCAAAGGCCGAACGGTAGGCCCTCGTGCTGGGCCACCTAGTGTTCCAAGTATCCCAAGTATCCCCAGCGCGCCATCTTCACAACTAGGAGATGTCACTAGTTTTCCTGTCACGGAATCTGTAGGAGGATTCTCAAGTACACACTCTCGAGAAGACTCGAGAGATGCTGCAGAGCCCCCATTCATACCACGTTTCCATGATAGGAACCAAGGAAACCAGGTAAACGTTCACGGACGTAAGAGAAGCAATACAGGCGGCCATGTACCGCCGCCGCTCTCTTTCCGGGGATTTTCTGGACCCATTGGGGGGGTTGGCCATCACCAGTCCACCAATAGTACTGCTGGTAATAGCACTGGAACTGCAGGTTCTTCGGATATCTATCAGTCACAGGCTTCGAGTAACGGAACTTGGGCAATGAGCCAAGCAGGCTCACAGCGAACTTCTGAAGCTTCTTCACGGCCAAGTAACTTCTTCGATGCTATTGGTACTGTGCGAATGGAGGCCTTTATTAGTCCACTGGCATTTTCTCAGTTCAACGACTATCCGGATGAACAGGATGAGTTCCGTCACTCACTTCGCAGACGGAGTAAAGAACAACGAAGACGACAAAGCCGAAGCAGACACCGAGATAGTTACAATTCTCGCAGCACCCGTGCAACACACGATGACTATTACCATGGAAGCAGAACTGCCGGGGAGGAGGACTATTTCCGTGATGATCCCTTCAAGGGATTCTAGCATCCATTTAATTCAGCACAGTAGCCACGACGGCAATATCACTTTCATTTTCTCTCGCTTTCTTGATCATGTTCTTTGGTTATGGCAGAGCTTAACGCAGCATTATACCCTTTTCTGTATAAATTTTGGGATCGGTTAAGAACTGGGCCCCCGCGGACTAGTTCACAATCATTATGTGTGGAGTTTTGGTACTATGTTTCTGCTACATACTTTGTATACATTGAAAACATGGGAAGATGTAGGGGCTGTGGGATCTGGAGGTTGATGTGAGTGAAGTAGATGACATGTCTCAGCAGATATAGTTAACTTGTTGGTATAAAAAAAAGAGACATGTACATCAGTCCGATCTGGTTCAAAGAAACCAGGTTGGTCTTGAAACATAGGTAGATAGATAAAGCTAAAACTGGCATCGCCCATCTTGAGATTGGAGCCTATAATTGATGTGTGACCTTCGATTCGGATCTTTTGCTTCCACGCTTATGGATTCATACGCGATTGAAGTCTTCGTCATAATAATCGACTGACGGTTGAAGACAGGGTTGATAGACAAAATAAATCATAGATGATTGAAGCATTGCCCCACCAGCGAAATTTCCCACTTACTTACCCCGCGACTCATGGGTGTAGTTCTTCAAGCTTCATTATTTTCTCTTTGCTTACCTATTCCCTGGATGCATCGAAGTCAAACAAGGACAGGCTCGCCTTCTTCTCCCCGTCGACTGCGGGACATATCAAACCAGAGTCGATACATACAAACTACCTGAAACTTGCTTTCTGACTTAATTCAGAGCCAGGCTGAAGCCACAGTCATGGCCAGTCCCATGGCAACGGAAACTCTCGAGCAGATCCAGACACGGCATCGTCGTGAGCTCAAGGACCTGCAAGGCCGCATAACGGGAAAAAAGAAGAATGCCACAAAGAAGACGCGCAAAGGCATAAATGACGAATGTGCAGAGATGGAGCGTCAGCTGCGTGAAAAGCAAGCCACCGAGATCGCCGCTTTGAATAACAGCGACGATAACAGCGACGATAACAGCGACGATAACAGCGACGATAACAGCGACGAAGGCGAAAGTGCCGCCGCCGAAGCTCAAACACAGCTCCAGGAAGACACCCTAGTGAAAGAAACCGAGAAGCTCTCTGTCTCAAAACCTGATGAACAACTACAGCAGCAGCCGGGAAAGAAGCGCAATCGTCAGAAGGAGCGGCTTGCCCGACGTGCTGCTGAGCAGGAGGCTGAGGCTCAGCGTGCAGAAGAGGAAGCATCCAGTATGACGAATCACCGAGCCAAGGAGAGCGAGTACATGAAGTCGACGTTTGAGAAGCATGGGCTTGTGGAGAAAGATATCGCGCCCGATGGACATTGTCTATTCTCAGCGGTGGCGGATCAACTCGGCCAGAATGATATTCCCCTCGGAGACAGTGACACCAAGGAACCAGCATACAAGACGGTGCGACGAGTGGCTTCTGAGTATATGTTGGAGCATGGAGACGACTTTGCGCCGTTCCTCGAGGAAGACCTCCAAGACTACGCCCGCAAGATGCGAGATACCGCCGAATGGGGCGGCCAGCTTGAGCTCATGGCGCTGGCACGACAGTATAAAGCGGAGATCCGAGTGGTACAAGATGGGCGCCTTGAGCGTATCGGGGAGGAAGAGGGAGCTGAGTCAGGCAAAACATTATGGTTGGCATACTACAGGCACGGCTACGGCTTGGGAGAGCACTACAACTCTCTCCGAAAGGCACCATCATGAGAAGGATAAGGAGATCACTTTTGTTCTTGTGCATACATCGGCGAAAGATCATATGGTGGTTGTTTGGTATCGAGACGTAAAAAAAAGGAGATTCGGTGACCAGACTATTCGGCTTGGTTATCGACTCCAGACCGAGAGGAAGTCAAGCACAGCGCCATCTGGGCTGATGCCGGCCTTGTGCGTTCGAGTTGGTTTGAGCAGACTCAGTCGATGTAGGGCGTCAGCCCAAGGTTTTGAGCAAGGGTCTTCATGGACGGTACCGTCGTCGTTGTATGCAATTTCTTCGCCAGGAGCTGCTAGGAGGGCCTCATAGAGCTCTGGGGAGACTCCCCATGGGGGACCATTGGCGGACATGGGTTTTGTCGAAGGGAATTCGAGACAAACGAGGCGACCATCATGAGACAGCAGCTCGGTCATGCGCTTGGCCCATTTTGGTCTTGCTTCGCGAGGCAGAGCGCATAGAAACTGTACAGTTAGTTGGCTTGCTGAAAAGTAGAGGCGCCCAGGATATGTATCAACCCCGGGCTTCAAGAAGCGGAATTACCGTATAGTCGTAGATCAGGTCAAACTGGCCATCAGCGCCGGCACCTTTGGCCCAATCTTGCGCAAAGAAGTCACCAGTAATCCAGTGAATATTTCCTTTATCCAACCCATCGACAGGTTTGTATAGACCTTCTGATTCGGCTTGCTTTTGGTTCTTGATAGCCTCCTCCTTTGCAGCAGCACTGAAGTCGAGGCCCCAGACATCATAGCCCCACGAGCTCAGAAGCAGAACATCATGACCACGCCCGCAACCGGGGACTAGAGCCTTCTTCTTTTCGATAGCGCCTACCGAGTCCCGGAGGGGATGGCCGCGATGATCATGATGTTGGGAGGGCGGTACAAGATCGGGTCTTTGAGCGAGGAGGTCGTGAAGGGCAATGGAGGCGGTTCCGCGGTCCCATGGTGTTAAAGCCTCTCTCCAGCAACTATCCCACTTCTCACCCTGCTCCGCGAACGGAACAGTCGAGATGCGGTTCTCCAGAGGGTTTTCGGTAGCCATTGGCGCTTATGAGGGAGAGAGAATACGAAACCGAGACTTTGTGGCGGCGATGGAAGGAAGGCGAAGAATAAATTTGCTCGATCTGGGGAAACAACTCGAGGCCTTAACAAGATAGCGCGCGTTATGAGGTGAGGGGGAGGGTCCTGTCGGCTCGGGATGGATCGATATAAGTTCGGGATAGAACAGGATGGTGGGGTTAACTTAGTAGATAATGACGAAAGAGGGACGTTTGTGGAGAGCTGTGAGAGCTGTGGAGGTGAGCAATCGACATCAGTGATTACAGAAGTGTGTCCTTTGATTGAGGTGAATGATGTAGGTATACAAAGTAGTCGAGATACTGAGGTTGGAGATGAAAAGAGCACAACCAAATCATTTTTCATTTGGTCGCGTGCGTTACTCAAGTTTCGGAAGGACAAGGAGTGAGTGAAACTTTGTACGGGCATCCGGAGTAGTCCCTACCTAAGGTAGGTAGGTAGGCACTCTTCTACGTTAGCGTGTGCGCTAGGTAAAGGCCCTGTATGTAGACATCTCCATGGCTTTACACGCTGGGTACGCTCTAAGGAGTTGCTGTTTCTTATGTATCGTAATGAGTGATATGATTAGCCTGTTCCCTGCTTGGTAAATGACTTGCATGAATAAACCGGTACAAAGGGCACACGTAGGTAGTCAGATCTGTGGTTACACACACTCATGCCCTGTAACGACGCACGACAAAAAGCATATGCAGTAAATCACGAGATACTGAGTAGAGTAATCAGATAAGCGATGCAGCAATTTAATACACAAAAACAAACAAGCAAAGCAATCTACTTAAACAGAACTAATCTATAATACAGATACCCACCTCACCTCACCTCACCTCACCTATTCAGGCATACATACCCAATCAACTCGCTTTCTTAGCATCTGGTTCGACCGACCCCCTGAAGGTCGCCGTGAATTTGGCCCACGAAACCCCCAAAGAACTCCATCCACGAGGTTTCTCAGTGTTGTCACTATCTTGGTCAAGGGCCCCGAGAAGTGCAAAGGGAAATTCATCATCAGTGGCTGAATCCTTGGAGAGTTTGTCCTTCACGGCACCAACGAGTTTTCTGTATTTGTTGCGCCACCCATCTTTGTTCGCCCCCAAGGGTGATTCCCGTCCATTAGAAGCGTCTGCGGATGCGGCGAGTGCTTCTGGCTGGCTTGACGACTCCAAAGCCTGTCGTGATTGTACATTAACCGTAGCCTCAGGTGCCACAGTATGTGGAAACGTCAAAGATTCGGCGTCCGTGATATCGCCTGGGACTCTACAAGACTCTTGATTCCTTTGGAATGACTCGAGGGTGACATTGCACATATTCCTCACCCTGGCTTTCCCTTCGTTCGTGAGCTCTCCCTTCTCCTTCAACTCGTAAGCAGACCCGAGTAAAAAGCCCTCCATGACCTTGACTGTGTTCACGATAGCCTCTTCACTTCCTTCGAACCAATCTTTGTGCCCTTTGCCGCACTTTTTACACTTTTTGACCCGTACATTGATGCCCCTGAGAAACAAGTGCACCAGTCTATGGGCTTTGGGCGCACCGTTGAATAAATGAGGAGACTCATAGATGGGTATGGTCTCGCATGATGCTCCATAGCAGTTGTTGGGCCGCGATAAACTTGTGTTGACAGTAGTAGCGGTCCATCCAATCTTGAACAGATCCTTTTCTTCCTTGTGCTTCAGGACATACACCTTGCCCTTTCCCGCCTGTGCATGCGTGAGAGGCTTCCTTAATTCCATGAGGATGGCGGTTTTATCGCTCAAGGTTCCGTTCCTCTTTAACCCAAGTTCACTAAATTGCGGGTGAGCAAGTCGTGGCTCATCACCCGAGTCATTCTCCAGTATAACTGTATCGTCCACGATGGATTCCACCATATCGGGTTGTTCCGCGGCAACATCTTGCCTGGAATGAATAGGGAGCGACTTTAGAGGTTCTTGGGGTGGTATGTCGTCCACCTTGTTATCTTGCTGACCAACATCAATAGACCTGCCAGAAATCGAATTACTGCCGAGTGCCAATGGGGGATTATATATCGGGCTCTCGTTAGATGTTGACATATCTTCAATCGAAGGGAGAGGGCTGTGATGATTCATCCTGCTGGGGGTACTCAGGATGAAACTGTCAAAGCTGGAAGCCGGGCTTTTTTCTGAGGTTGTTGGTGTGTCATCTTCGACGAGAGGACTTGAGAGAGGTGTACCGTATTCCACAGTAGGCGATTCGAAGACTTGATCCTGAGTCGGTGTACCAGGTAGTGACACTTCAGATGAAGCGTAACCTGAGTTCTTAGTTCGGGACCTTTTCCAGTCACTAAAGCAATCTTTAAGGAAATCGCCCTCATTATGCTTCATGCAGTGAACCCGCGGGAGAAATTCTTGAACCGTCGAATAGAACTCGACCTCGTTCAAAAGTGTTTCCTTTTTCATCAATTCATCCCATATTTTCTTGGCTCCTGGTTCCTTTCTCTTAGTGCCATAGTTGCAATTGGCGGCCTGGCATTTTCTAAAGTTAGGATAGTTGGGATCATCATCAGAAACAGAAAGTTTGACAAGAAGAGTGCTCAGCTCTTTGAACACGGGTCGCTCAGAAAGAGTGGCCATTTTGATTCGAGCAGTTGTGACACTCAAATCGGGATCTCGAGAATGCATTGGTGTGTCTACGGATGGTACGGATGGTCTATTAACTATGGAAAGATGAATGGCTGGGAGCTCTGCTTGCAAGGGGGTTGAAACTGAGTACCAGGATCAAGATACTCAGCCTCGAGAATCATATTGTTGGTTCGACTTGTTATGTTGCGAAGCCATGGTGTGATCATGGTTTATATGCAGTTGGTTGTGTCCTGCAGACGGAAGGATTTCCCCGGGTCAGAATAGGAAATGGACGCACCAAAGCTGAAAAGTGTTGAAACGCCAGGGGCATACATGTCAAGGGTCTCCAACGCTCGAGCCTCGTGAAGACATTATGTATCAGCCTTCCAGATGGCCTTGTCTATCTGTATACCTAGCAGAGTTTCAGTTTATGTAAGGTAGTGTGTGACCTCCACGCTCCTAGCCACCATCTTTGATGAGATGGAGGGTTACAGCAGCACCTGGTCCTTCCGGCAGGGAGATCCAGATAGACACGGAGTTGACCGATACATACTGTAGTCCTGCTGCCTTGTTAGGTCTCTGCTGTGCCGTCCAAGAACCTCAGTCAAGTGCGGGGGGCCTCACGGTGACCAGGCTTGGATAAGAGAAAGGGGAGGAGATAGGGGAACTTTTGAGATAAATCGTGATGCTCTGATATCCCGGTGACTTTGAATTTGCGGCACACGGAGGGGAGTTGCATCGTGATGTCGTTCTAGTTGCAACCTCTTCGCCAGTCGGCCGGCGGCTTGAATCCTGAAGCTGAGCCTGGGTTGGACATTGGCCAACTGCTCCCAAGCTCTGTCCTGTAGCAGGATAACCCAATGTTGAGCGAGCTATGTCGTCTCGAGTGCATGCTTTCAACTGCGCTATTGGCGGTAGTAGACGGAGGCTGAATGTAAGATAGTTACTGGTACTCTGTACTCTGTAATGCTGGTGGCTTTGCTTGAACAGTGGAGCTGACCGGGAGCTGGATATATTCTACCTACTAGAGCCTAGAGGTATGGTACCTTAGAATACCAATCAGTTCACGTGCTTTTTGTTCCGAAAGGGCAGAAAGTGCCGGTAAATGTACCTGCCTCGGAGACACAGGCTAAAGTTCAACACAAATTTGACGTTGTATCACATTTTAATCAAGTACCTAGGGAGACACTGTAAATAGCTGTCTCATCTCGTTGTATCACTGGGAGTATCATCCATACATTGTATTCCAATTATAGCCGTAGCATTTTATTGTATGCAAGATCATGAGTAGTGCTAAAAAAGGAAAACAACCTGCCCGTGGTATATATATCATCACATCCAATCATCCATCTATGTGGTAGCAGTAGTAACATAGAATTGTTCCCGTCGCAGAAGTGGAGAGAGAAAGAAAAGGCAAAGGAAAAAAGAAAAACATAAGAGGTCGTACATGTGCCTCAATTTTTGAACCGAACGCCCGCCATAAAGCCCCCGAATGTTCGCTGTTACAAACGATGTTGAAGAAAAAGAAAAAAAAAGGGGGGGATACATGTGTCAAAAGCAAGAAATGCAATGCAATGCAATGGAGATGCTGTTGATATGACGACAGTCCCTGGAATTGCGTCTTTGTCGGTTGTTTGCAGACAAGAAACCGAGCCGAGGATGGATGGCAGCGTGGCCGATCAGAAGAATGGAGGCTTAAACTTCCTTGGTCGGATAAAAAGCCGTCAATTGCGTCAGCGCCAAACGGAAATACGGTAGCCTCGTCTCGCTGTGGTCCCCGGCCCGACAATCCCACGTTGACTCCAGTAGAAACAGCCGATACTTTGCGTCGGATCAAGGGCCGAATGCAATAGACGATGAATGAGGCCCACTTCATATCCGCGGGTGAGCTAGGCAAGGTGTAGGCAAACCGTTATCGTCGTCGGGAAAACACATGCCGAAAAAGATGCCATCGAACCATTTTCTTTCAACAATGCAAGAAAAGGATTCATCGATAAGGGTTGTCCTGGGTCGAGTTGAGTTGTCAAAAAGACAAAGAATGTGAACAAGGCATTGATGAGGCGTGATTGGTCAAATGCGACAAACCAAACATGCCACAGTCGCACAAATCCCCCCAATGACGGTGTCTCTTGTAGTGATTCGCGGAGCTGAACAGGCTCTTGTTGTCGAGACAGGCATGATTATCGCTTCTGTTTCTGGTTTTTCGTTTTCCTGTCTTGGCCCTTGGGAGAAGGGACAACATGGCCAACATAGGTAGGTAGTTAACCGAAAGAGTGAAAAGTAAGTGCCCTACAGGCCACACTCTTCAAAGTCGCGTATCATGATGGCCATTTGCGCCCGCTTGGCAGCCTCGGCAATGAGTGTGAAGTCTTGGAGAAAGGCGTCGGTTGAAGGACCGTTGCCCTGAGCGGGAGCGGGTTGAGGGACCATCTGTACAGAAGGAGACTGCTGAGCCGAGGAGTTGGAAGTTGAGCTGGAGGGAGCGTCCATTATGATAGATGATGAGATAGTGACGGACAATGTTGGTATAAGCGAGCGAGTCCAGGTGTATGGTGAGAGGGGGGACAGATACGCAAGACAGTATAGTATAGTATAGTATAGTTCAGAGGAGAAGGACGGGGCAGAAGAATGTGGGAATGGGGTAGAATAAGTATCCGTGAGGTTAGGCAGCCAAGAAATTAAAGATACAGTAGCACAGTGACAGTTGATAAACTACTGTATGTGCTGTGTGCGTTGGATGATGTGGAGGTAGGTGGGTGTGCTGTCGGGCCCTGGCCTGGATATATGCTTATGACCGCAACGGTAGGTAGAGGTACCTATTGCGTGGGGTAAAATGACGGGATGTCACTCTCTTGTCACCCTCTGGTCTGTTCTCAAGAATAGGTATGTAATGTATGTATGTACTGTAGGTAACGACTTGTTTCGCACGCTTGCTGCCACCTTTTTTTCCTGCAGGGTGACGTTCCGGTAATGGCTGTAGACTCTGGAAGTTGGCACGGGTGGTGACGTTCTTGAGGAATCCCAACCTAAAGGTTTGATTTTAGGTGTGGTTGGTGTATGTATGTATTAGGCTGATGCCGCAAACAGTTGGGTGTGCTGAAGACCCGCTCGTCAGGAGCTGGCCTCTTATTCTGGCTGCGCTACAGAACAATAAAGGGCCGAGTGTCTGGGGACAGGATGCAAATCAAATCAAATGGTGAACGGAGACGGAGACGGAGACGCCGAAGTGTGGAGGAGGCAGCGAGATCATATTGAGAGGCTCAAGAATTTACGAGTACTTGGGTATTGATTAGGTATAACGGTGGAAGATGCCGCCCGCAGTCAGATCAACTGAAGCCGATGAAACCAAGATAGTCCGGCCAGGGTAAGGTATCAAATGGATTGGATGGATCATGGCACCAATTGTTCACTTCATTTACATTTATCCGCAAGTACCGACCGACCGTCTTCGTCCACACAGTAACACTGACAAAAAGCCCCAAGGTTACATGCAGCAGTAGACAACTGTTCTGTTCCTAGATCCTAACTTAGGTAGATAATAATCGCGCGGCGGGGCAGAATATGGAACCGAGAGAAAACAAAAAGAAGTCTTCTCTGCATTACCGCAACTCGAACTCGGCCTTATGCCCGGCAGCTAACCAGAGCTAGGAACTGGGGTCTAATCTACCTACTATACCTTATGGATATCATGTCCCAGTGGATCTGGGGTGCAAGTGGGAGGGAGATGTGGGATCTCAGACCCGACTTTTTTTTCTTCTTCTTCTTTTTTTCTCTCTCCCTTTACTTCCTCCTGGTCGATTTGCCTTGTCATTGGAGCATTGGAGTCTACTTTTGGTTCAACAAGTGGAAACCACTAAGAGACCCTGAAAAAGACCGAGAGAAACCCATAAACTAATGCGAATAATAACAAGACGCTACTGTACTGTATGTAGTAGCATCATGACACCGCATGAGATTGGATCGAGCCCTACGTGCATTATTGTCGCCGCACGGCGGGCATCCTGCTCCGCTTAGACGCTCACCGCTCGTCTCATTGCTTGCTGCCTCTCCTCTCTTCTCTTCTTTTTAGCCGTGATGTGTTATAACCTCCTCGGCTCGGCATCTGTTTCAATTATTCGTACAAGCGCCCACCAATCATTGGACCCTTGGACACTGATAGCGTGGGGTGTGTCTTGTGTCCCCCAAACCCCAATCTCTGGAAATCGAGACAATATTGGCTGGCTTAATACCAAGCTCTGTGCAACTTCTCCAGTGATAAGCAGGATCGTCAGGAATAAGAGGTCATGTTATGGAAAGAGTATTCTATAGTGCGATAACCCCATATATCTTATTCAGGGACTGCTTTTATAAAGTATTGATCTGCAGTGTTACCTCATTCTGCCTGCATATTTCATGCAGGTTGTTTGTACTCAGTCAGGAACAAATAAGGTGATTCAAGCAATCATCTCACAACATCTAACCGGTCCTTCCAGCCTATCTGGAATCATCTGCCCAACACCAAAACAGCTTGAGAATAATTTCTCCTAACTGAGCCTCTCATGACCCTACTCTTTAGCGAGCCTCAGTCCGAGATAAGGGTCCGTCCGCATCAGAACCACTACAGTAGTACTCCGTACATACAGTCTAGCTCAAGCCCGGGTTCTTTCGGAATTGGGTTTTCAGTTGGTGCGCTTGGCTCTCATAGTGGAGATCCCGAACTTTCCCCTACCTTAGGTAGGTTAGTAGTTGGAACCAGAAAAATCACGACAGGGATGCTGGGGAATCTGCCCACTATGAACCAATTCTCCATTTTGCGCGGCTCTGTCGGACATCATTCACCGATGCTGCCACTTCGTCTGCCCTGCCTCGGGCCTCTGATCCGTCAGGTCTGGCCTGCGAAATAAAACGTCAGCCCAGAATCCAAGTGTTAGTGTAGAGGTGGATATCTCAAACCCTTGATAGAGCCGCTCTTGCGGAGCCAGTATTGAACCGCAGTTGACCACCTTGTTATACTACCTCCAGAGGTGTGAGGTGTACAGTAGTGTCCGAGGCGCCTCGACAAGCCGCCTCAAGCGGATTAAAGGATATTGCACCCGCTGTTGAGACCTCGGTCCTCATATGATGCCGTAATTTGACGCAAGCTCATGAATCGTGGACGGGATCTTCATCCTATATCGTACATCATGACATAACCACGTTCTGGTTTTACGGGGTATTTTACACTACCAGTTTGCATCATGAATCAACATGACAGGTGAAAAGGCAATTCCAAGCCACTATGAGATTACTCCGTATCGTCGCAAAGAGGAAGGGAACCGATTTATTGGTTCTTCTCTGTTGATTGTTTCATCATTCCGGGGAAAGATACGTACTCCCGAACCGGAGTTTTGCCCGCCGCGCCGATCCGTCCTCCGGCGTAGCTAAAGCTTCAACCTCCAACCACAACCCAAAAAACACAAAAGCCTACCAAGACGGCCAACGATCCCGGATTCGCCATGACGTCTACCGTCGACTCTCCACAGTCGAATCGCTGGTTTGTCGTCCCGCGCCCCATTCGAAATCTATTCAACCATTTCCCCCTTCACGTATACAGCCCCGAAGAGCTCCCCGCAAGGTCCCCCGCCATCGTGCGCCAACGACCGGCCCTATATGTTTTTGTGGCAGATGAAGATGCTTTGACAGGGAAGCCGAGCTATAATCCTTCATGTCTGAAGTGGCAGGTGTGTTTATGGTGAGGGACACGAGTCGATAGAGGCATTGTGCTAATGCTATCTCGACAGACTGTGTTGAGAATCGCTGGTATTGATTTCGATATCGTACCTTCGAATAACCACGCCTCGCCCTCAGGCGCATTGCCTTTTCTCCTGCCACTGGCGTCGCAAGCCTCGAAACCCCTAACTGGCGAAAAGATTCACAAATACGTGCGCGAGCACGCTGTGCATGAGCTGTCCAACATCACATCACCCCGCCTTGAAGCCTACCAAGCTCTCCTGACACAAAATATACGACCAGCTTGGGTATATACATCACCGTCATATAATTGGAATACATACTAACATGGTATAGCTATATGCTCTCTACCTCCTACCCGCCAATGCTCCTCTCCTCAAAAGTCTCTACCTTCCTTCCTCGATGCTCCTTCGCGCGCCTCTCCATCAGACACTCCACGCCGCGGCCACTTCCGAAATACTCAAGACAACACGACGTGCGACTATCTCACCGTCACAACTTCTAGCCGACGCCACAACTGCCCTGCGAGCACTATCATCCCTACTAGGAGAGGATAAATGGTTCTTTGGTGCTCATGGGCCCGGCTTGTTTGATGCAGACGTGTTTGCATACACCTATCTGATAGATGATAACGCTCTTGCTTGGCAGGACAAGTCATTGAGCCAATGCTTGGGAGGACTAGATAATTTGAAGAGGCACAAGGAACGGCTATACAAAAAGTGCTGGGGAGTGGACACATTGTGAAGCTATCAGGATGCCCATTATCTGGGAGGATAGTTTCATCCCATCGTCGTAGAGAAGACGAGAGACGTGCTGTATAAATATGTACTATATATATCACAAAGGAATTGGCAAGGGAAAATAGATACGGCCAAGTAGCCAGCTTAGAATCCGGTGCCTGGATGCATTTGCGGAAAACCGATTTATCACTGATGGTCGACATTGGTCTTATCTATGTGCCGGGCATTGTACAACCCGCCGTTCTTTGCCTGCAAGAGGGGAGTTGTTGACCTATTATCCATGAAGCCACCCCCAAGCTCTTCACCCGTCTATAAGAGTTCATCAGGAACACAGAACCTCCATACGAAATGCGTTGTATCGACAAAGTGCCACTCTCACACGAGCACAGTATCTTACAGGCTCGTGTGGTAAGAAGTAAGCAGAAACAGAAAGCAAGAGAAACTCCATACTCATAGCATTACCCTGTAGAACGCCGATGACCATAAAACCCCAAGAATGTAAGCTGATAATGAGGCAAAAGAAGACATGTCGGCGAGGCTGGAATCAGTGTTGTGGAGGTTGTGGAATTCCCTTCAAGACATCATTCACTGAAGCAAATGCTCCCTCGCCACCGTCTTGGCGAAGGTCTTCGAGGAGCACGCTGGTCTGAGCATATACTTTCTCTAATGCTGCTCGAGACGATTTGCCCAGAGATACTGCTTGTTCGTTAGCATTGTCAACAACTGATATGTTCCTTTGTTCGACTTACGTAGAATGGCCGAGTTTAGTTCCTCTGCAACAGTAACTCTGCCGTTCCTATCCAAGAGGTGGCTGACTTGAGGCACCTTGAGTGGGTTTTCATATGCCAACAATGCCCAAATCTCAGTAAGTGCCTTGCTGACTTCTACCCGAGGGTCATTGACGTATTGTTCCTGGAGTGTCCGTCCGTACTCCAGCATATTGCGCTCAAGCTCTGCAACCACGGTCTTATTCTCACCACCATCGGCATCTCTTGAAGTATTTTCGCTGCCATTAAGATCGAGGTCCATGTTCTGAGGGGCGGGGTTGTTAACATGTCCATTACCCATGGTCTCATTGCGCATGTTGAGCTGGGCCGCCTTTCGCACCAACTCGATAAACTTGCGACATTGCAATCTGAAATAAACTTGCTCGTTATCCTTTAGAACGTGGGGATAGTATGCATTCGTGTACTTGAGCGCCCTGTCAATATCCCCTTCGAGGATTGCACGCCGAATCCCTGTGTCGTGGTCAGAAGTAGGACAAGGCAACAAGAAAGTGTGATCTTACGTTGGCGATTATTTGCGTCTTCATCATCTCTAATACTAACACCCTCGACCTTGACTCCGGGATCAAGACTTAGAGCTTCTTTTTGCTTCTTCATGTCTTCTGCAAAAGCCCGAGCTGTACCCACGTAGCCATCATGTTGGAGGAACTGGAGAACAAGTGCCTGGATTACATCGGTTTCGCTCATGTTTGGGACGAGACTTGATGTGTCTGTAGCTTGGATATCTTTCTGTACTCTGTCACGTTCTTCCTAGAAGGGCATTAATTATGCATCGTGTTGTATGTGGGGTGTTGCACAGGCCTACCCGCATCATATCGTCGATGTTATACACAAAAGGGGTTTGTCCAAAATTGACTCGGATAGACTCGCCGGGCTTCTTGAGGCTAATCGCTGGGTATAGCCTACCTCTGTTGACATCGTTGAATGCCGTGACTATTGCTTGTTAGCGAGGGACGCAAGAAGAGCTGCCTCAGGGAGCAAGAAAACTGAGGACCCGTATCCTGGGTGATGAGAGATTTGAGTAAGTCCAGTGCAGATGTAGATGCTCATCTCTTAGGATGATGGCAATCCTAACCCATACAGATTTAGGATGGGCTTGAGAGGCCTTTAGGCCGGTCTCTTCGTCCCCTAGGATAGAGGTCCCAAGTTTTCTTACTTCTCCGGGCTGTTGGTGTGCATACACATACTCAGCTTAACTCCATTTTTGGTGAAGAAGGCGGTGTTGTCCCTGAAATTCACACCACATCCAATCACGTCATATGCGTTGTATCCAGGGCCGTAGTGTCTTCCTATATTTGATCCTGTGAAACATCGCCCGTCGTCGCCGTGATAGCCCCAGGCCTCGGGTTCCCAGCCAATGGGCCGCGACAGACTGACGTTCTTGGTTGCAAACCCAATACCTATAGTCGCATCGTCGCGTTTAGCTGTTGCTATTTGCACCTCGAAATAATAGATTCCGCACTGGGGGGGCATGTAGTGGTCGGCGCGGACTGCACAAGCCATGTGGTCTTGGTCGTGCTGATTTTTAGGTCCGATGTACTTCACAGTCCAGCCGTCAGCTTGGATCTCAATACCTCCCCACTGATCATCCTTGTTCCATTTTGTTGGCAAAGGTGCTAGGTCATCATCCTCCTCAAAGGCCGGGGGGCGCTCTATAACAGTATGCGACATGCCTCGATGCGAACCCGGGGGCAAGGGATGCTGATTGAACGTAGCGGAGTGCTGGGATAAACCATTCGCTGGAGTCGAGTCGCGGCGGGACTGAACTTTAGCTTGGTGTGCCTCTCGGAGCTTCTGGACGTATGTCGAGTTCTCGAGATAAGATGGGACAAAGAACGTCTCATTCTCGTTCTTGGAATTATTATCAGCTGCGCCGGATTCCACAAGCATGTTAAAGGCTCGTGAGAAGGACGGTAGGCCAGTTCTCTGAGCGTTCGTCTCCATCCCAACAGTTTCCATGACAGTATTCGTCGGTTCGGGGCCCAGAAAGTTGAGCTCGCCGGATGCACTGAATATCGAAGTACGGGCAGGATGTGTATAAAAGTTGGGAGTATTGGCGATAGATGAGTTATGCGGAGGAAAGAAATGAGCGTGGCGAGTAGATGGCGAAGCTGGTTCGGGACGAGCAGACGAGCGAGAAGCTTGGTGAAGGGGACTTGCCATGTCCACGACAAGCAGAAACGAAACAGCCTGGCTATCACCTAAGGTACCTTGGTAGTAAGACACCCGACAGCAAGGGCAGGTGAGTTAACTGCCAGGTGAAGCCCTAGGATGGGTTCCAGCACAGGCGTGTAGTGGGGGTGCGAGCTATAGCGTAGTCGGAAACAGTCGTAACAGTCGCCTGGGAGGTGGTAGCACGAGCTTCTCGGATGTATCGACAAATTACCGGCGAGGCTGACAAAGCGGAGCAGAAGCGAAATAAATAGATAAATAAGAGCAATAGACTCAAGTGGTCTTGCAGTTGGGAGAACAAGTCGACTTGTGTACTATAGCGGTGGGTAGTTGTAGGAGAAGACGAGTGGATGGAGGTGGTGATGGTGATGGCGATGGACGGGGCGGGTAGAGGTGGAGGTGGTTCCCGTCAGAACAACAGCGCGTCACCGTTACCACTCACTAACTCCTATGTTAGTTAGCAGCTATAGAGACGCAGGTTAAAAAAAGAGGAATGAAAGTAGGATACGAATGTATTTGAAGTAAGAATGGCTCGTCAATTAGCCATTGTTAATGTTAGCACTCAACATGAATCGAGTCTGGCTTGACGAGAAACGCCGACAGTTACTGTACGTATCACATCACTCATCATGGCTACCAACTTGCGCTATCTATCACGAGGGTCACTCTTCTCCCCCAGCGGGTTTAGTCTTTAGTACCTCCCGTCCTGCCTGGCCTGACCTGACTTGACCTTGTCTGTTAAGCTTTCACCTAGCAAACAGCTGCATCAACTTAACAGTGGAGGCCCAGCTTCCCCGCTGCCGGGCCGGATCCCTTCTAACCTGCCCGGGCTGCATTGCTCCAGGTCCCCATGCAAATGGAATCGCCCCAACATAGCCAAAAGCTGAGGCGTAATAATGGGCGATAGCACGATGGCCCATGGTTCTGTGCCTCTTTCTTTTAGTGCCTTTCCGTGTTCTGAAAAGAAAAAAAGAAACATTTGAGTGATCAAAGTACATGTAGCAATAGCTACACCAACCCTGCCCTGGTGCAGAAACAAGTTTGAGGTTTCCTCGCTTATAAGTTGGCGAGGTTATTTGCTGACTTATTCCGATACCTCCAATGAGCATCTCCATCTCGATATGGATATTCCAGGTTGGTTTGGGTTTCGGTTTCAAACCTGTTCGCTCAAGCCCCTCCAGGCATCGTTCATAAGCCACCATTTTTATCCTAAAAGCAAGATCCTCGGATGAACCGCAAATCACAAAGAAAAATAAGTCAAATATCAATTAAAATTCTGGGCAATACAGTTACACTTCGATCCCCAGGCATGAAAGTCACGGGACGGCTCTGGCTCCGATGACTAAGCTTTGTGAGCTCCCTACGACCACACCACAACATCAAGACATGACCCCGATGAGAAAGACGAACCAAAATGTATCCACAGTTTGGCCATTGGGCCATCTCAACCCCCGAAAACTCTTCCCCGACCGCTGGATTTGAGAATTCCCTCATGTTAGAGATCATTCCTCGTCGGAACAGGCGATAAAATGAAGACATGTGACTGTGGCTCCGACATTGCGATGATTTATATTACCTGATGAGAACGCTTGGGGAATCATTTTTGACGTGAAGAGCTTTCTACGACGTCCACTTGGATTTATCGCAAGATGGCATCTGCGCTGCGTCAGCTTCTTTTAGACCTACGTGGCGCGTAATCTCAAGGGGTGAGCCATTAACGACTGAAGTTATTGACACTATTTAGGTAGGCTGTGACAAGACAATATTCGTAGCAAACAACGGATTAGCGCCCGTCTTTCAAGCTACGGGCGCATGTACAAGTATGGCAGAATGACAGACAGCATAGATAGAATTTATTCTTAAAGAACAAATATTTGATTGCTCATTTCAGAGAATTACCAGAGTATAGGTATCTAACATTGCCCCATCGTAACAGTAATTATACATCAAATATATGCTCCGCCAGCCCTGGTACGGTTCAATGCCAATCCTTTTCCACAGCGTTCCATCCTCGCTGTTCCATAACGCCCAGCGACACCAGCGTCGCTTTTTGGTGAAAGAAAAAACATAAAAAGATTTCGAATGAATGAACGGTCATGCTCTGTCTGAAAGCATCTCAGTCTCACTGACAGGCCAAGAATGAGTCGTCTGCCAACCTAGAACGCCCGCAGTATCTCGCGCTGTAAAACATTCTCTGGTATCAGAGCAAAAAGAAAAGAAAAATAGGTAGCATCGTAGCGTGCGTTTTTATGAAGCGGCGGCAATAGCAAGAGGTGCCGGCGACGAGGCGTGGTTGCTGGGCGCACTTTGCATCTCCACGTCATTAACAGTATTGCTATTGCTAGCACTGTTGCTCTCGTGGCCGTTTTCTTTATTCTCCTTACTGCTGCCCTCGGCTGATGCAGCAGTAGAGTCCTCAGCGCTGGATTCGGGAGCCTTCTTTTGAGGTGCCACCCAGCGAGGGATCTCCCATGCCACACCAGTGAAGCTCTTGAGTTGGAACCCTCCCTTGGCCCATCGGCGACAGGGTTTGCCTGAGCGATCTAGAGCGCGAAGTCCGGCGTTGATAGCTCCTTGATTCGCTTTGGGCCCAAGCTTGTGACCTCCGGCAGGCTTAGAACCTGAGTGATCGATCGTTCCGTCCTCCCTAGGAGTAGTGGTCAGTCCAATGTTCAAATATGTGTGGGGGCTGCAAAAACTTACAGACGGGGCTTCTTCTTGGGGCCAGGCTTTCCTCGAGGCTTGGGGACACCATCTATTGTACCGTTGGCGCCAGCGGCAGATCGCTTGACGCCCTTCTTCTTCGCTCCATCGGTAGGCGGTCCCATGGCCGACGGGGCCGGTGTCCCGTCGGCGGGAGTTGCGTCAGGAACAGGAGTGGCGGCGTTGGAGTCTGAAGCATTGTCGCCATTCGTATTGCTGGCTGGTGGTTGCGAGCCAGAAGCGGACACGGCATCGGTAGATGAGTCGGTGTTGGCTTTCAAGTCCTTGGGGGGAGATTCTTCCTTGATAGAGTCGGGCGCGAGCAGAGCACGCAGCTTGTCGGGCGACACCTTGCGAGTAACAATCAAGCTGGCCTTGGTGCTGGACTTGCGTCGCGCGTCGGCGGATTTGACTGGAGGAGCCATGGTGCTGAGGGAGGTCGATGTCACAAAGAGCTGATGGCGATGGTATAGTCTAGGGAGGGTTGTCTGATGAAAAGGTGATGTGTGGTGATGATTGAAGATTTTTGCAAGCGGCGAAGGATAGTGGAAGAAGGTTAGGGAAAGGAGCAGGATTTGAGAATGGACTGGTGACGGGAGAGGCGGCAAATAACCAAAGGCCCGGTGGTGATCCCGTGGTGGACAAGACGTGGTCAGGGGTGGTGGGCTTTTGGGGCTTGCGTGGAGCGAGTCTTAGTAGTAGTAGTGGGAGATTTATTAGGAGGAGCTGAGTTGCGATCACAGACGCAAGTTGCAGGTCGGTTTGTCACTCATTCAGCCTGGCTGGTGCCGGGTCAGGATTGATTTCAGGGTGGTGATGATGGGTTTGCGGTGGTGAAAAGTGGATGGAAATGAAAGTAATGGAACAGAGGGCAAAAGCCTTGTCTTGTGCGGTTGGGGTCTTGGTATTGTTGTCATTTTTGACTCTGGTGCTGGGGCCGAAGGCGGCGCACAAGGAGAGGAAAAATCGGTTGGGTTGGGTTGGTTTGATTTCCCGCGTTTCTTCACACTCAGAGCAGCAGGAGCGAGAGCAAGTGGCAGTGGCAGACGAACAAACTTGGGGATTTCAGGCCCAGGTTCCAGCCCGTCTCCTCTGTTACCAGATGGGGCTTAGTGCCACTTCTGCCGCATGGCAGGGGTACCGCTACTTTCCAGCCAATCAAGGCCCCGGTATGTCTTTAATCTCTCTCAAAGCAGCGCCTCGACTTCTATTGTTTTTCCACTCCTCCTGGGCGACTGAGCGAACTCAGCGACCAAAAGCTCGTTTCAATCGAGCTCCCACGGTCACTTCATCGCCTTCAGCCCCCGAGTTGTCCCTGTAATCCATCAGCGATGGTCACCACGTATTTTAACCGCCAGAGAGGCACGGATTTCATTGCCTCACCTTGTCAATAGCCATTTGATCGCTAAATATACACAAGACTTTTCACGGCTTCATGTCGCGATGCTCTGTAATGGTCACCATGACCCTGATCAATATTCACATATATTGAAATATCGATGAAACCGACAAAACTCACCTCAACCAACTCGTAGAACACTGTAACTTCCATCCGACCCTTTTTATGCCCCTTAATCAGTTGCATTTTCGTGATAGCCCTCCCTTAGCCCGCGATGACGGTGGAAAAACAGCAAGAAATGGGGTCCTCTCAATATCACTCAGCAAGCCCCTGCAATAAATCAGGGTGGCGGAACTGTACGATTCAATACACCTCCAGAATAACTTGCTTGGCATGGATCGCTTTTCAACTGCCACTTGGATTTCTCTAGCCTGTCACCTGTGAATTCAGGTCTGATTCCCAGCGGTCAAGTACCTGGAAAATTTACTTTGTGCATTTAATCATCAAAGACCTCACGATCCTTGCAGACGCGAACAACATTAAACTTTCGATTAATATTTATTCACCTTTGAAGCTTTCGGTTTCTCTGTCCAAACTTTGTCCCCCAAATGCCACATCGCATTGTTGCAGTTATCACCTGTGATTGTGACAAACTCCCGGTGCAACCGAGATCCATTAATGGTTTGGTGCCTGGGTAACTTTAGTCGAAGAATCCCGACCGAGAAATTACCTGACCAAGACCCAAGCGTCGTCACGACTCCGCCAAACAAATCTTGTGTCCAATTCTGACTTCCGTCATCCATGATGCACCAGAAAGGATTCCGCTGCGCATTGCCTCGATTCCCCGCAGCGATCAGCATGACGGACGGGCTGCACTCGGCAACAATATCAAGAATACCTGCTTCAGCGTATCACCATGCTACATAGCTATCCATATGATTCATTCGAAGAGGTGTCTACAAAGAAAAACTAAGCGTGATACTGCCTAAATTGACCACTCACCACAGGAATGAAAGGCTTCCTTGGCCCGCGGTGAAACAACAAGTGTTGATCCAGTCATTGTATGCCCACCCGAGACTGAGACACCATGACAAGCGTTGCTATCACGATAGTTGGAATGTGTTGCTCCCCTACAACCCGAGGACCGTTACAAAAGATATATCATGGCAACCTGTCGGCCAGCAATGGACTGGAGAGCATCACACATTGTTTATTCAGTTCTTTTCCATCACCAAGTCGACACAATGATTCGATTATACATTCTTCTTTGCCTTCTGCCATGTCTCTTCCTTACCACCCCATTCACCCATGCGGCCCTACTCCCTCGTCTCAAAGCTTCGTTCAAACTGCCAGGCGTAGTCTTCAGTGAACCAGTGGCTCGATCTTTCAAGGTGGTGCCTTTCAAGGAGCTTCCTGGGGAATCACACCATGGTCATGGACTTCACCACACTCTCGGCCTTGTGAAGCGATTGGTTGAAGACCAGGGCGATATGGTCGAGGTTACCGAGGAAGCCCTCCAGGAGCTTTTGGATCAGATCAACAAACTCCATGAGCAGGTGAACAACATGATGCCATCTGGTGGGACGGACAAACAGCCTACTCTGGGGGCAGGCGCTTCATCGGGGGGCCAGTCTGGCCAATCTGATCAATTGCCTGCAGGTTCTTCTAATGAGTCTACTGGTAGCGGACAGTCTGAAGAGCCTGCTCCCTCTGGCAAAGCTAGTGTTCCCCAACCGGGCGTTGCTTCGGGTCCATCAGAAGCTCCTGTAGTTTTGGACCCATCTCTACGATCCCCGTTGCCATCACAGGCAAACGTAGCCACGATTGTCAAGTCTCAGGCTCCAGGCGCTTCAGCTCAGCTAGATGCATCACAGATAGATACCGACAGGCAAGCAAAGACTGACCTGGCGCAGCCTGCTGCAAATCCCACCCAGGCGGCAAAGGGCGAATCTACTAATCCATCTAGCGAGCCTGAGGCTGAAAAACTGCCTGGCAACAGCGCTGTCGTGACCCTTCCTGAGGTTGCAAGTGCTTCTGGAAAGGGGGACATCGTGGAATCAGGCGGCCGTCCCAAGAATGCTGTTGCTCAACCAACTGGCGAACTTCAGGCTTCGACGGAAACACAACTTAGCACGGCGCAAGATGCCAAACCGACAGAGAATGGAAAGGACAAAGATCCTAGTATCTCATCTGCCAAGCAGGTTACTGAGGCCACTAGTACTGCGCCCGGGGGTGCATTTGTCGAGAATCCCGATACCATTGTCCAGACGGTCACGGCCAATGTCAGCTCTGGCGGCCAGAATAGTACTTCAGTAACGAAGGAAACTCAGAGACCATCCGGTGCCAAAGATGATGAGTGTGTTGACGAAGTAAGTGATCTGCCCCTCATACGTCGAAAACCTAACTGCACACCAGGTAGTAGGATCGAATCCGCGAGCGATCCAGCACAAGATACCACGATAACTGTCGTCCTCATACCTACTCCAGAAGCAGATCCTTCCAAAACCTCTGTAACGGAAGCCGGGACACAGATAACAGAAGACTCTCCCGCAACTGCAAAGGCCGAGGGAGCGGCCCCAGCGTTAGAGACAGAAGCCACCTCCACCCCGGACATCAACACTGGAGACTCTCAGCAGCTCGCAGCACCAACCCTACTCTCAAATCCGTCTTCTGTTTCTAGACCTGGGCCGACAGCGTTAAGCCTCAGAACTCTCGTTTTCACATCTGTCCTTACGAGGTCTTCAACCATCCTCGCAACTACTGTACGCACAGAGTTTGTTAATGCGAATCAACCCACTGCATCATTGAAAGCCCCCGGCCATGTTTTCAAAGAAGACGAAGACGCAGACACGAATGCAGCGTTCAACAAGGATGGAAAGCTTGCTTTGGAGGAGAGTGTCAATGAGGGAAACACACCAGGTTCGAGCATTCATAACTAGGTCGGATTGGAGAACTCCACTAATCATGTGATAGAAACTGTTAAAGGAACTCCTCTCGCGTTAGAGACTACAGCCATTCTGACCACAACCACGACCACCATTAGTTTGAGCCATGCTGATGTCATGACAACCCCTGAACCCAGCCAAGAGCCTCTGTCTCTTTCTTCACTATCATCTCAAGATGCTGGAAGCATCAACGGGACATTCCATGCAACACCAAACAGTGGATTCAGAACAATTCCGAGGTCGTCAGCTAGTCTGTCAGAGAGAGCATAGACGCGGATATGCATGACTTGCTCAGGAGTTAAGCGCCTTAATGATGTTTTGGTTTGGTTGTTTTAGAATGATCACTATGAATTTATGTTGGATTCCCCCCCCTTTTTTAAGCATGCTTGTCATCCAAATGAGAATTAATTCCGGTTTCACCCTCAGTACCGTGCCATTGAAAAGCAATAGCACGTAATTATCAATAGTCCTGCGAATGCTACACCCTATCAACTTTTGAAACTCTGCAAAATCGTATCCCGAGCCAAGGGTAAGCAAGCTGTAGTTGAATGTATACATTCTCACTAATGATACGGATTGTCATTAGCAGTATAAAAAAAAAAGTGTGAGAATTATTGGGAGAGGCGACTTGCATGACCTCTGGCAAGGTTCAGAAACAGTCTGGACAGCATCGTAGAAGTTGTGAGCGCCGTCAAGAAAGCACCCCGAGCTCGAAGGCCTTGAACTAGCAGCTACAAATGGCTTTATGAGAGAGGGATCAAGACCAAACGCTCAAGGTTCATAAACAAAATCGTGTAAACTTTCTGCAGATCAGGCTCTTAGTATCAGTTAATTGTGTTGATGCCATGGAACATTACAACATCACAGTATCTGAGTGCTCACTGCGGAGTCGCTTGTGAGCATGCATTGAGATACCCAATAAGTGAACAGAAGCGGTCTCCGGCGAAGATCATCACGGCAAGTATTTTTGTATAAAACACTTCAGCGACACTGCCAATGAGATTCTTGAATGTAAGTCTTCCTAAGGGACTTTCAGAGTCGATTGTGTCCAGCCAGCCGCTAGTAGAATCAGAACATATTACACCGTGCTGCATAGTCTCCATGCGAGTCAGTACTGAAGAATTCATATACAAGCTTAATCTACTGGCATAGTCTTGAAGGGGCTTGGATGCTGACCTCCAACCCAAGTCGTCAGAGACCATCAGGTATCAAAGATTAACGCAAGGGGTGCGATCGAGACTTTGAAGAGAGAACGTGACGAGATATTTAAACATTTCCCAATGTTCAATGGAGTTTTCTATGTGTAGTCTCCCTGATGGTAAGAAAGCGTTCTTATTAACTGGATTGAGGGTCATTATCTGTAAAGTGGCCTTTTACTGATGCTAACTACATTGCCAACTCCTCGCTGTCATCCCACAACTCAACGAGTAATGTTTGGTCTCTCTATTTCTCACTCACTAAGTATATAAGCTTTGTATGAGCGATTTACTTGCGATTTAGAAAAGAAATGAAGGTTGCCGTGTGTGCCATCAAGATTGTAGGGGAACCTAGATATCTTGTGAACTCATTGTAGTCGTCAAGGAAACCACTCCAATATATCAAGGTTTCTCTCCTGGCAGTATCAAATAGCAACCGATCGTATGAAGCAGAAGTGACCTCACTTTACCATCGCAGAAATAGAGAGTGGATTCCTGCATTCACCTTGCAGGTGGTATGACGAGTTGTCTCATGACTAGGAAACCAATATACGGTAGTTCAAGCAAGGCATTCTTGGTCATTCTTCTTTGTAGTGAACCAATGTATAATAGCGTTATCGTCGTTAAATGGCGGATTTTGTCCCGTGTAAGCGCACGTTCACAACGAGCGTTTGATTCTTTGTCAGGCTTGCGCAGCAGAAACTCGCTCGTATATCTGTATTCGTCGGTTCTGTTTACAAAAGATCTTCCTTGTGAGATTTGGGATGCAGCTAAGATGCAGGGATAATAGAGACTCGAAATCACATGCATACATATACATGCTTCTTATTCATCTCACTCAACTACAGTCGCAGCTGATATCGCTTAGAACGTACCTTTCGCTTTGTCCGTCATCGCCTGATCTAGAATCATTCTCTCAAAACGTCTGGATAATTACGTAGTTATATAATATATCAAATTTAATTCTCCGGTGAACAACATCTCAGCCTGAACTGACCATTGCGGGTTTTATACCACGTTGGGCCATTTCATGTAAGCACTTGTGCCTCCAGCCCCATTGTAACGGTTCTCTGCCACGTTGTGGTCAACCATTTCCTTAATAGCTCCAGAAATGAATGAGAATTTGGAAATGAAACTGAGGTGCAGTGAACAACAGGCCAATGATAGCCATGCATCCAATATGGTAGGGTAGATCGCAAACATGGAGGGCCTATCACTCTCCGTCGCACGTCGCCAAAGCGAGTTGATTCGAGTCTTACATGCATAGACCTCTCTTGAGTCTTGGCTCCCATCACATTCTTTTTCTTTGTTCAACTGCGCTCATCGATTTCCGGCTTCCGATCAATTTTACTGTGAGATAAAATTGGTTTCATAGGAGATGCGACGATGAATGCTGCGCTTTGTTGAATCTTCTGTCACTCTTCCTTTTACCGCTCTCATCATGAAGCTTCTCAGTTGTCTCGTCTTTGTCCCTCTTACCGTTGCGCACAACCCACGACAGTATGAGGCACTCCAAGCGGCTCCTAGCGATCTGATGCCGCGATTCTTTATCGATCGCTCATTTCCTTTGGCCAAACGCGCAGGGGATTGTGGTTCGGATCATCACAACTGTAGGTCCATGTGGATGCTATAATGCTCTCGGACACCAAACTCATTTATGCCACAGGTCTAGAGATTGGATTTGCAGATGACTGTTGTGACAACGACTCTTACTGCTACGTCAACCGAAAAGGCGACCCGAAATGCTGTCCTATAGGCTCCAACTGCTCCAGCGATTCGCCGTGTAGCTCGGATGCTTATTTCTGTACCCGCACCGTCACAAGGAGTGGAACTGCCACTGCGCAAGAGGGCTGCTGTGATCGCAAGTGTCCAAGGACGAGTCTTTACCTTTGCCCAAGTAGTCTTGGTGGGAACTGCTGCGGCTACAACTCTGAGTGTCGGGCGGGTGGCGATTGCGCCTCTACGAGACCAGCTTCGAGAACGGACCTCCTGTCGCCCATCCCCTCAGGCTGTACAACCTCTCAGCATAAATGCTCCGACGGTGCAGGCTGTTGCGACAACGACCAAGAGTGCACCCAGGTCAGTGGTGAGGGATACTGCGCTCAGGCTACACCAACAGACAGCGGTGTCACGATTGTCGACGACAACGACAGCAGCGGCGGCGGCCTGTCAGATGGTGCAAAGGCTGGGATTGGCGTCGGTGTCGTCGTGGGAGCCAGTATCATTGTTGGCGGGCTAACTTGGATGTGTCTACGCAAGCGACGCCAGCGCACTGCATCAAGGCCATCAGCATCTGGCGAAGGAGACGGCAGTGCGCTCCCTAGAGATGCCATGACAGATATATCCGGGAGCCATGCACGGTCAGGCTTGACTCGGGACTACTTTGGACCAGACCCAGCAGCAGGACCATATACTGAGCAAGCAAGCTCACGGGTCACCTCACCTGGAAGAATTGCTGCTGTGCCCATGCATGCACAATCCCCTGGAGACATCGCCGCGCCCGTGGAGATCGACTCTGCGAATAGAGACGGCAGCGATCTTCTATCACCCATGTCAAGCCCGAGTATATACCAGACACCCCTTTCTGGAACAATAGACGGTCGGTTCGAGCTGTACGGTAACGACTCAGCCATAACACCAGACCGTCCCTTGTCAATCGTTCCCACTCCCCCACAGAGTGTAACCGGGGATGTTGCACCGAAGCAAAAGCAATAATTCAAAGGAGAAATGCGTCCCGTTCTATTCGTTTCTGTTACTTATAAACGCCTAGCCAGACCATTCGTGTAAAGGGATGATCCAAATATTCAGCAGTCCCGGTGCGACAAGCAAACGATTATGTGCACCGAAGCTATCCCTCAGAACTCCGCGCCAAAACATAAAGTAAAGTATAAGGGCACCACCTAATAGTCATTACAACGCCGTTGAATGAGATGTAACTGGAAATATGAAAACAGTCTAAACCACAACTTCAGTCTTTGCACCGGCATTTAGCAGACAACACCGCCGAAAGGTGCGCAGTTTTGGAGGTCTTTGACAAGATCCTCTACGCTGCTCAGATGCTGGCTAAGCAGCTCCTGCTTCTCCTCTGTGGTGAGATACATGTCACCTTCGGGATCAGAGCCGGAACGCTTGCGGCGTGGGTCGGCATTGAAGGCACCTGCGAGTTTGCTAGGACTTCGCTGAAGCATAGCGGGAACACTATCGCGCTGATCGGCTCGGGGAATCGAAGGAATCTCAGGCATGAGGTAGAAGTAGAGGAACTCAACGAGCTTAAGCTTGACCTCACGGGCGGTCGATCGCGACTTGAAGAGAGAGGTGACAGTGAGAAGGCCGTCAAGGCTCTCAAAGGTACGGGTGTTGATTGGGGTCTCGATTAGAGCAGTGACGAGTGTGAGGAGAGTCGCAGATTGGATTGCAGGGCAGTTGAAGGGCTCGAGAAGGTCAAGGAGGAGCTGCATGACGTTAGTTTTATGGTATTTATGATCTTGGCCGTTGTATACATACGTTCATATTCTGTTCTCGGGCAAAGAGAGATTTGCTGGGAGGGTGTAGCAACAAGACTCCCTGTATGAGGTCAAGGGCACTCAGAATCAATAGGTCGTTTCCACCATCACCACCCTTGGCCATAAGTCGATCGAGAGTGCTAATAAGGCGCATCGCAACGTTCCATTCGAATCCCTCCTGCAATTTGAAAAACTCTCGGAATGCCGGGTCGCGGGAAAGTTGGGAAAGATCCTTTTGAGAGGGTGTTGATCCTTCACTCCCATCATCATCAGTATCCCGGTTTCGGTGTGGACGGTCGTTTCGAGAGTTTGCTTTAGAGAGACAGATCTGAGCTAGAAGGCCTTCGACCTGGCGAAGGCCCTTACGGACTTTTGGTCCGTCATACGAGGAAAGGTTGTCGAAGGCGAGAGACAGAAGAGACTCCATCGTGTATCTGTGCGTGGGGGAATAATAAGGTAATGAACGTTATGCCGGAGACGGTAAAGATGGAAAGGCTGAAGGGTAGGTATCGACTTGATGCGATTGCGGCTGGTGCTTTTTAAAAAGAGTGTTTAAGAAAACATTTGATCAAGGTGACAGGAAGAATAGAAGAAATAGAAACTGATTATCGTAGTCACACCGCCGAGAGTCACCGAGCCCAAGCAACAGTGTAAAGAAGTAGAAAGATGGATGATCGTCGTCAGGTTGCTGTCACCAAACAATCCCATGGAGTGGAGCTATCGGCACAGCAACGGTTTAGGGAATTTCAAGATTTAAGGGTCGCCAGCTGACAAGCGGGCTGGCATGGTCCGGGGTTACAGGGGCCTACAGGGGATATGCAGCTAGGATCGCGCTAAAGTGGGCTGTCAACTGTCATCTGCGCCGTTGGTGAAGGGAATGTCCCAGTAGGTCCAGACGGAATCTTGTTTGTAAGGGATTGAGATAGAAGCTGTGAATGGGATCGGGGCTCTAGGTGTGAGCATAGGTAGGTACCTACCTAGGTTACCTACCTTAGTAGCTACCTTACGGTTGATCCCGAGATGGGAATGCTAGAACGCTTGGTACTTAGGTGAGGTAGGCGGAGACCATGTTTACACAGCAACGGTGTTAACTTAAGACTTCGGCAGTCAAGCCCTGAGGAAACAAAGGTCCCAAAGTATCTGGGTTCGTACTCCGTACTTGTAGATATCATTGATCAGATTCCACGGCTAACCGATATTGCACTTTCGATAGTCCTAAGTCATCAAGTCACCCGCTTCGGTTCTAGTATATAAGGAAATTACAAGTGTCGGTAGGTTATCACGGGTAGTCGAAATTATCTCGGCCCAATATCTACTCTCAGCCGATGATAAACTTGATATACTCCCAAATTGGTTCCTCGGTTGGATATTGTTTCTTTTATTATTACTGCAGGACCATTAGCTTCTTGCGAATTCTTGGCTGAACACATGGACAAGTTCAACACTGCAGTCAGCAGTTACCTTCTCGATCTCCAAGTTGCAGTCACCAAACCCATCACTTCAATGCTGACAGAATAGCTATCTGTGATCGAATAGTCTCACATCATATCCGAGAACTCATGTATAAATTGATGGATGACGGGAATCATACTAGGAAAGTCATTATAATTCGGCATAAGATCACCATCGCCCTACTTAAACTCCTCCGACTGACGCATGATTACCTGCACCGCTTCATCCACGCCAGATGCTATCACTGTTGGCTGAAGCCCCAGTGAACATCCCAGTGTATCAGTCCAGCCCTTGCCTTCACGGTCGATCCATGCACTCTTGAATCCAAAAGATACAGCACCAGTGACGTCGAATGGGTTTGAGCTTACCAACCATACCCTATCAAGCTGAGACTTCATCCCCGCTGTCTCAGCCATGAACTCATACGTACGAGGATGCGGCTTGAACACTTTGAGAGGATCGATACTGACAACTTTCTCATGGGGAAATATGTTGCTCACTCTTGACAAAGTTGGGCATGTATCAAGTGACGATGTCATCATGGCTTTGGTTCCGTTTGAGAAGATGTATGGATCGATAGATGCATGCTCTGCCAGTTTTTCAAGTGCTCTATCCACATCTGGGAATGTGTCGAGGCCGTTATATGCATCCATGATACGCTCTTCCTGCTCCGGGGTGAGCTCAACACCAATCTCTTTCGTAGCTTGCCGAAACGACCATCTCGTCAAGTCACTAAATGTGCGATAAGTGCCTTCGTATATCATTAGTGATGGATTCCATTTTTGGCTTGTCTCAACTTACCCATGCTGGTCACGCGCCATGTTGACTCAAGCTGGTATCGCCTTGCTAGAGCGGCAATTGACTGAGCGTTATCTTGCCCGTATAGTTCTGCCAGCTCTCCTGCTATCGATCCGGTGGAGAGAATAGTACCGTAGAGGTCAAATGCAATTACTGTCCGTCCCATGGTGACTGTTAAGGTTTGAAAGACGGAGGGTTTACAATGCAGGTGGTTGAGGATCGACACAAAGAAGCTCCGAGCTGAAGAGGGGATGGGTGATCACATAATCATCATGATTACATAGCTTCATGCATTCCATCCTGCACAATCGCGTGAAGAGGCGGCAAATGCATATTCCGATACTTGGTGTACTAAAAAGATTCATACACACAGCTGAAGGTACTTTCTCTCTCTCACTGTCATCGCGTTATCTAAGTATCGAAGATTAATTTAGATTTGTAGTATTATTCTGGGCCTGCCTATAAATTGTCCAAGAATTATCCATCAACGTCGATCAAAAGCTCACATGTTTCTTTAATGTTACCTCCAGTATCATGCTGCGGCCACTGTGGTATGCGAGCTACTCGCCCTATCTGAATGAGATAAAACACTATTCCTCCGCGCAGTGGCATTGTTGCTGGCCTGTTCCTCATCCTTCTCCCTAGCTTCGCTTTTCTCCTCTGTCGGTGCAAATTTGCTTCTGATTCTAATCTTCTTACCGTATCTGTAGAATAGAAACGGTATAACGGCTAGAACTGTAGCAACTCCTCCGATCAGACTTCCACCACCACCAACTCCCAGTGTATCGAACATTTGTGTTGTGAATAAGGGGGCAGCAGCGCCGCACGCTGATCGAGCAATAGTATTAGCTGCAATAGCAGATGCCGCGTACATAAGATAGACGTCGACGAGATATGTCAAGAAAGCCACGAAGATCAACATCAAAGATGTAGCTAGGAAAGTTCCCGCCAATGTCGGTACGATCCAATGGATAGAACTGCAGGGACCAATATCAGTATATATACATGTATGTTGGAGAGAATTCAAGCTCGAGAGCGTGTGGTGACTTGAGTTACGGCGAGGATTGTGATATCTCAGTGACTTACTTATACTCAGCCGTCCATGCAAACCAGAACATGGTCACGGCAAAACCAACACCTCCGATCATTGCCAATGACAGTCTATCTTCGGGCTCCATCTGTTTGTCCCCATTCTCAATCTTTTTCTTTCTAATTCTCGTATCAATCAAAACTATGCCACCACCAATGAATGCACCTAAGAGTATGTTAGTGTAAGTTCAGCGAAGTCGTATCAACGAAAAGTATTCACCAATTACAGTCCCAATCAAGGGCAGCTCTCCAACACCGGGGTTCCAGCCGCGTCGCTGCTGAAACACGATTGGATAGATGCTGAAAAGCATATACAATAATGTGTAGACTACAGACATGTAGACTGCGCAGAGGAATGATATGGTATCGAAAAGGATAATCCACGGTCTGGTCAAGGCGATACGGTACACAGTCTTCAGTGTACGATCACCCTCTTCAGAACGAGTTTTAACATTCTCATATCCAGGAATCTTTGCCTTCCGTATTCTTCGAGCCTTCTTAAGGAGAATTGTGGGAGCATGTGTCTCGGGAATAGTCAACATGATGAGAGCTGTTGCGCCACCAAGCCAGAGAAGCACATAGAAACTCCAACGCCAGTCCTTCTTCAGCTCGAGGAACCCAGCAATGACAGGCCCTAGTGCTGGCCCGACCCATACCATAGCAGAGAACCCTGCCATGGCATTGCCACGCTCGATCGGGGTCCACAGGTCTGCGAGTACGCCAGGTGCATTGCTAAGGGGTGCAGAGACAAAGGTTCCCGTGAGGAAACGACCGACAAGGAGGGCGCCAAAGTTAGGCGCCCAGGCACACAAAAAGTTAAAGATGAGATATAGCGTGAAGGTGATGTAGAAGATCCATCTTCTTCCGTAGAGCTCACTTAGTGGTGCGAAGATGAGCGGTCCGGCACAGTAACCCAGTAGAAACAGGGTGATGGTCAAGCCTGCTACCAACTCGGATACATGGAAGTGTTCTGAGATAGACGGGAAGCATCCGCTTGGTGAGCTCGATGCAAAGGTAGCATTCAGTACGAGCAACACAGCTGAGAACGTGACAGACCAGCGCCGAGCAGTAGACCAATTCTGTGGGTTCTGAATATCGCCCGGTGCAAAGTCGACGTAGCCATCCTCGTTCAAGTACGGGGGGGTTTCTTCCTCGAGTTGCTTAGTTCGATAGGGCTTGTTATTAGCCGATGAGAATATTCGATGTATAGGGGCCATGGCTGTTGGTAATGTTGCAAGGCATAAGGGCAGTCGGCCATGATGAGGGAGCCAAGACTCATATTTATATTATTAAACACACAGCGTATGCCATATCTGATATCTACTAACTCAGTGAGTTACGTTAGTTCTCTTGGAGTCAATGACACTGTTATGCTTCTAGTGTCGATTCTGCAGACTCGGAAATAAATTAGAAATCAGATCTAAGTCCGTTCTCTGATCTTCATGCCGCATCACCACTTTCGCTCCACCACTGTCGTCATACCTTGGGAGGTCTTATTACACTATAGGCTGCAACACCTGAATAACGGCAATTAATTCCCGCTTAACGTTGGGAACTACTAACGTTGATCGAGAGGATGGCTCGGCTCTCGCGTTTTCGGATCCCCGTTGCCGTATGACAAATGTTTCGGCCGATTGTGAACGGAGATTGTTATCACCGTGGTCAGCTCAGACACCTGAGCGAGGCTTTGGGTGATGAAGCGCCTGGACAATATTGTTATACGATGATGTTTTGTCTCTATTAATGCCACCAGTTGCCCTTATAGACTCTTACTTATTTCACTATTACTAAGATATCATACAATACATGGTAATGATTGAAGTATCAATGAATGTTTTGTGTCTTGCATGAAGTGACTGTTGTCATTTTAAAACGATGGAGTTAGGATTAAGTAAGTATAGAATTTCCAACTTTATCGTAGTATTTTGACGCTTGGTCAGGTACACGAGTAAAATGAACATTCGTGAGAGAGACAGACAATTCATGGGATAGACTGACTAGAAGAATAATGCCTTCAACATAGATGAATATGGTCCAACTTATCGAACTTGCCCGTCGAAAGAGTAGTCCCGGGTAGGCGATCGAAAGCTTCACGGTCCAGGTTTAGAGACAGCAGGGGTTCTTCAAGCAACATGATCTGACTCCATTGATCAGCTCTTCGATGCACCCTTAATTTGCATGTGAAATCTGGAATTATCTGACGAGATCTCAAGGTGCAGACATGGTCCGTGACAAAGTGACACCAGGGATCGACTCAACGTGTTCGTCTTCGCCTTACTCCTCAGCGAGCTGAGCATGGGCTTCGCAAGCCCTGATCTTACAATGGGCTGAGGTGGTGTGTTTTCTGTCCCAACGGATCGAATTCTTTAATGATTGTGAGATGGGGCAGAAGATAGATAAAGGGAGAGCTGGTGCATCAAAGAATGTATCTTCCTTATGTTTCATTTGTTGTCTCATAACGCTATTATTTGCTGTATATTTCGATCAAGGCACCTTAGTATTCATCCTTACGACCAGTGTAAGTGTCTCGTAGGCACCCTTCAACCAGTCTTGTCTTGGCTGTTGCATCGCCAGCACACAAAAGGCATGCCTTTGACCGAATATGAGTCGCCAGAATTACCACTAATAAACTGATTGACTGACTCACTTACAGATATCCATATATTTATCCGTCTCTACAAAGCGGCAACGAGAACATCAAAGGTATGAATACTTACGATATACGTCAATATGACTATCAACTACAGCTAGTTACCTAGTAGGTATTAGGACTGAATGACCTGGCTTGTTGTTGACTGCTTTTGGTTGTCTATTGAGTCTTCCCCGCAATCACACCCATCATAGTCCGTCCCACGTTGATCTTCCCCTGGCAAAGACCCGTTTTCCCAACACTAGCCCCTCTCAACAACAAAGAAAAGGAAAGCAAAGCTGCGTTCGCGTCTCAGAGCTCCCGTCCCATCCATCCATTCTGCATTAGCTTGTGACAAGAACCCCTAGAAAAGAGGCACGGTCGTGTCAGTTAGTACTTGACATGCTGTAGAGGACGGGCTTGTAGTTCATGTTGCGTCAAGGTGCGAAGATGATGTGTCCTGCGTACCTAGGACGAATGAACAAGTACCCCAGTTAGCCCACCCTCACTCACCATGACCCCTCATCACAAGACAGAGAGAGCTCTGGGCAGCTTCGTCCTCCTCAAACTGGATAGCTGCAGCCTGCAGGATTCGCTTTTAGGCTCCTGCTATTCAGCGCTTGAGCAATTGATTTGAGTAAATTACCTTATCCACGTTGCAAGCATTGGATGCGCTCAGGCTCAGTGTCAACTCTATGACCCTTCTATCGTCGCATCAGGCAGGCTTAGACATGCATCGTCTGGACATTCAATGACGTCGACCACTTATAGATTCACCCGAGCATCCCGACAGCACCATTCGATATCAGTACGCCACGAGACAAGACAGGGCCAAACACCACGTATACGGCATTTGTTTATTATTTCGCTTCCGTCCCATATTGATTTCTGCCTCTCTTTCTCCAGTTAGCATCTCAAATATCTTCAGCAGCGTCATCGATTATCCGTCAGAAAAGGACCCCTCCCCCTCCTCCTCCTCCTCTCTTTTACCCTTGGACGAATCGCATTCTAGGTATTACCCCCAAAAACTTAACACGCATGATCCCCACGGCCGACCCGGTCCTCTCCTTCAACCCTGAGGCATTGCCCCCGTCGGCCTTACACATGCTGTCGCTCTCGCCAAAGGCAATGGAGAAGATGTCTGGTATCTCCAACCCACTTATGTCTCCCAATGCAATTCCACCTCGCACTTCAAGCACCGGCATCCCGACCTCCCTCAACGCGACACCCACAAAGCCCGTTCTGCGCCCTGTCCCAGAAGGCGACTGGTTGAGCCAGAAGCAGCTCTCCCCAAAGGCACAGATGTCAAACGCTGGTTACGGCGTAATGCAAGCTCCCAATCCACCTCCCGATCCCGAGCGCTACGCCCACGAGGATCTCGAGTTCACGGCTCAGCGCTCTTGGACTGACGAGAAGGAAAATGTCGTCCGCGGACCTTACGACTATGTCATCAGCCATCCTGGCAAGGACTTCCGCGCCCAGCTAATCGGTGCTTTCAATGTCTGGCTCGATGTGCCCACGCCGAGCCTCGAAGTCATCACCCGAGTCGTTGGCATGTTGCACGAGTCTTCGCTCCTCATCGACGACGTACAGGACTCGTCCGAGCTGCGCCGTGGCTTCCCTGTCGCACACAACATCTTTGGTGTCGCTCAAACCATCAACTCGGCAAACTACATATACTTTGTCGCCCTACAAGAGCTGCACAAGCTCAACAATCCAGAGCTAATCACCATCTTTTCCGATGAGCTTGTGAACCTCCACCGAGGCCAGGGCATGGACCTGTTTTGGCGTGACACTCTTACTTGTCCTACCGAAGAGGACTACCTTGAAATGGTTGGTAACAAGACGGGCGGCCTGTTCCGTCTCGGCATCAAGCTTATGGCGGCGGAAGCCAACGGCCCTAGTCCTACAGACTGTGTTCCGCTCGTCAACCTAATTGGCCTCATCTTTCAGATTCGAGACGACTACATGAACTTGTCCTCGAAGGAGTACAGCCATAACAAGGGAATGTGCGAGGATCTGACCGAGGGCAAGTTCTCGTTCCCTGTCATCCACAGCATTCGCACCAACCCCACCAATCTCCAGCTCATCAACATCCTCAAGCAGAAGACCTCGGACACCCAGATCAAGCGATACGCTGTTGCCTACATGGAGTCCACAGGCAGCTTCGAGTATACCCGTAAAGTTCTCAGCGTCCTCATCGTGCGGGCCCGCAAGATGGCCGAGGAGCTTGACCAGGGCCGTGGGAGCACGAAGGGCATTCAGAAGATTCTTGACAAGATGGCCATTCAATGATATCCATTCAGCGTCTTGGTTTATTTCTTTTATCTCGTTACGATTCACGGTTTTGACGTGTCATGAGCGAAGCGCATATAGAATGTTCTGACACAGATCAGAGACATCTGACGACCTCCGATTTTTTGTGGCCACAGGGGAGGCCTGTTCAGCATGATACCACTTGGACTCTGAAAGCGTGACTTCAGCATTAGGATTGGATTTTTAGTATTCACTTTTTGGTAGCCCATACTATCCAATTGAAATAAGCATAACTCAGATGGAATTTCTTGATGCCATGTCAATTCTTACATAACAATGCCCATGTTTGGCCACAATTGTGTAGACCATCTCATGCCCCGACCAATAGCTTGCATAATACGAGAAATCAAAGTAGGAACGTGATATTACAGAGATCTATCAGATCAACTTGGCTGTACTGGAACCGCCTTACGCTTCACCAATCTGACCCATCGCCGTCGTCTCCAGTCACCTCTCCGGCCACTACCGTCTTCATTCTCCTCCCAGCTTGGCTTCGGTATTGCCTTTTGCTTTCCCTTCTCGTTGATAGGAACGTCCACAACACCCGTTCGCTCGTCTCGCTCATCCCATATGTCATAAACCCAACGCTCGCCTTCTGTCTCAACTTCAACCCCTGTAATAATACGTTCTTCTACCCACTCACGACTCCAAAGGTCCAGAGCCCATTTCTTCTCGCTCCATTCCCACGCTTCGGGTGGCATGACATCTTCAAAGAAGCGGGTTCCACGTGGTCGTTCACCTGCAATTCGAGGTTGTGACAAAGGGTCGTAAGGAGAAGGACTGAAAAGCCAAGGCTCCCACTCGCCACCACCCGAGGTTTTGCGCTGTAGCTCAAAAATTTCCACTTCACGCGTTTCAGGACTGGAGTCGAGGATAACGTCTGAACTGATCCAGTTATCTAACCACGACCGAGCCTTGGCCTCTTGCGGTTGGAGACGCTCTCGATGAGCAGCAGCAATGAGGCGGGCGACGTGCGGATGACCCATACCCACGATGATCCAACCCCCAAGAAGGAATATGAAGCGCCATGGTAGAATTTGGGCCGCAATGGTCATAAAAATGCTCCCCGCTGTAAGAAATAAAAATAGAGCAGAGCTGAGAGCCTCATCACTAAAATTCGTCACTGGCACGAGTAAGGCGACGACCTGGTCGTGTCCCCGACTAAAGTCATCCATGCAGTTCTGCAGGTCACGCATATTCCGAAAGAAATCCTTGCTGAGTTCCTTGACTGGTTTCACCGTCGCCGCAGGTGCCAGAGGTGGCCCCTGGGGAGAATATCCAACATTCTGCTCACTCGACAATGTTCCCTTGGGTGGTGCGGGATGCCGTGCCAGGAACGCGGGGATGAAGACACCGAACAGAAGGATGGCAACAGGCAGCACAAACAGGAGATAAGGATCCAGGCAGACAAAACTATAGACGGCGAGGAGTGATAGAGTATGCGATGCGCGCTTCCAGGATAGAATACGTTCCACACGGGCCTGGAATTTAAAGACAACGCCTATTCGAGCGTTGAACCGCCGAAAATTGTAGGACATGGTAGTGATGTTGAAGTTGGGCCTCTCGGTATGAGTGGCTGATTGTTCATCACCGACGAAGTGAACCTCGGTTTGGTCATCGCTATCCGTAGGTATAACTTGCTGAAGAAGTCTACCGTGCCGTCAGTCAGTAAAGCACGGTATTACAGCGGTTCAGGCAGCTCAATATACTTTTCTACTAATCGGTCCTGTAAGCTAGCTTTCTGGCGAATAGCAGCCAATCCTCCGCGTAGGCCCGTTTTCTGAGAGCTTGATTCGGCCTTTGGCTCGGGCTGCTTGCCATTGCCATCGTTCTGGTCATGGTTGGGGCGCTGGCTTGAGCTCTCGGAGGAGTCAAAGTCGCGCCCGGTAGCGAACATCTCTGCAGTGAAGTCGTCCATGAGGAAGTCTGTTTCAAGACATGCTGTGGCTCTGGATGGTGGAGAAATCAAAAGGGAACTGGAGATTCAATATACCCGCGCGGAGGTGTCACGGCACGATCGTGGGTGAGCATGTGACACTGGTGACATCACTTACACCTAGGTCCGAAGGAGGCTACTAGGTTAAAGGTAACTTACCTAACCTAGACTGACCTCGTGGTAACGGCTTCTAATAATACCTACCTAACGGAGAGAAGCTAGCCTACCTATTTTCAGCAATAAATGATGTTCGCTGTGGGTGGGAAACCATTTACTGGAAACTTTTCCTCTGCCGTCAGCTATCCGTAGAGTTTACAGTAGTGCCAAGCGGCCCGTAGCGCCTTCAGACCGTGTTATGCTCTTTGAAATACAGTCAATTAGATGCAGACGGATTGCTTCATTTGGTGAAGTTTGGAAGACTTGGCATCGGTCCGGATAGAGAATGGAACTACACACATCATGAGAGAGTTAATAAGTCCTGAGACATGGTTCATATCATATATATCCAACCCTAATTTAGATGACTATAGCGATATCCATGTCGTCCCTTAAATCTGGCTTACCCCACACAACTGAATTTCGAATGAAGAAAGCATCCATACTACCCGTATGTACTCTGTACATGACCTTCGTCATTTCGGTGCTACCGGTAAAGCTGTGGAGGCATTCAGCAGTCCATTCCAGCGATGACATTGAAATCGCGAATTCCTCTCCGACAGCTTGATTGTGTCATCCACGCTGATGGATGTCCCAGCTCGTCGGTGTCTGATGTATGGCTGATGAGATGAAGTGGCATGTCATAGCCATGGGCTTAATTCACTCCAAACGGCATTGCCCATGACAACGATAGCTCACATATGCCAGATGCTAGATTGCCTATGCGGCAATCAGATGCTAGGAGCAGCTATGAGCTGCCAGCTATCATCCAAGACCGTGTATTGACCGCGAAAAAACAATAAACACGACTCAAGATGCAGGACCATCAGATCCTTGATGCTTGGCAGGACAACAATGCATAAGGTTGTACCAACTGACAACAGCCTTGACAGGTTAGTTAATTGGCCCGGTAAAATGCTTGGTAAATAATAGAGATGCATCCGTATGGCCCTACCGGTTGAAGATGCCCGAGAAAGCTTCTGTCGGGGCAAATTGATGGGTCCTTGAAAATCTGAGACACGACTCAATCCTTGTACTCACTGGATGTTCATGGTCTGAGCGGGAGGCTTGAACAAGACATCTATCTATCCATTAACCACACCGTCTGGCCCGTCCCTGGTCACGAGTACAGCCCGGCACTCTTGAATCAAGAGACATGAGCCTACCTAGGTAGTTAGGTGGTTGCAAACAGCCTGCTATAGAAACAATGAAGCATTTGCCAATGTCCTAGGATCAAGTCGGTTCGCTTGTCGTTCGTGCGCCCCAGCTATCCTTGCCTCAGGTTAATGTCAACATCCGATTGCGGCCCAATACAAACACTGTTTGTCGACCTGGGTAGCGCATCGGGCCAGTGTCCGCCGTTGATGCGTCAACCGGTTCACGCGACTCGGCACTATGCGTGGATGGGACTCTGTATGGCTGGTAGCATTCGCTCGCGAAACCGCTGTCTTCTCCACTGACCATGCAAATCTTCTACTTAAAATCACCGCCATCGCCGCTCATTATCGGGTGGTGGATGTGTTATAGAGACCAGCTGGCAGAGCAGGGTAGTAGTATAATACCTAGGTAAGGTAGGCAAGGTAGCTTGGAATGAGATGACGATAAAACGAGACAAATGCGTCCAGCAGGGGAGTGAGATCCTTGGCCCGGATTTGGATTGGCATTTAATTGTTGTTCAGAGAATGTCCCCATATTCTATCGCGAATGGTTGACGTTCCTCGATATGCATCGTTGGGTTCGTGAAAGTCTAATAAAGTAAGGGGACGTTCCTGAGGTATTGACCGTATTGCATTAGTCTATGAGGTTACATGTTGGGGGAAGATACATCTGATAAGGGTAGAATGAGCCCAAGATACAGGTACCTTCCATCCACTTAAATGGCGGTAAAAGGCATCTCGACAACCGGCATAGAACCTCCACCTCTGCCCGCATCTCATCCAGGGACCAATTTCAAAGCTCTAGTAGCCAATCAAACTGCTCGTCTACCGTGTCGAGATCCGCTGTCCACTGTTCATTATCAACCGCGATGTTCACCATATCAGCCTCTCAGGTGCCGTTCTTCAGACGCTAGAGAGTGTGATGCCCGCTCCCTAAGGGGGCACCCTAGCACGCAGGTATTCCCCATGCCTCCTTCCGGAACTGCCAGTGGCCGCCTAGGTTAGTAGGTGAGTGCCTACCTTATAGCAGAGAAGGAAAAAAACACAACCTTACCTAACCAACTTAACGACTCCATCTTTTTATTCTACTCCATCTCGCATCTTACTGTACCATCCCTTTCTCGGGGTGCCCACCGCAATCAATCACTCCAGGCTCCTTTTCGCCTGTCGCCAACCGCTCACTGCCTCTTACTTTGATTCTGTCTGCTCTCTTGCACTTCAATACTCTTGTCGGTTCCGGAATGAGGTAGCCGTTCGAATGCGCTCAGCTCCCTGACCGGACTGAGTCTGTGCCAGCAACCCGACCCCGTGAAATCCACCTTCGTCGCATTGCCAGCCACGCCCCTCGACCTTGGACCCCATGAGCCGCGACCACAAGGCACCTGCTGGGCCTCGACCAGCCAACTTTTCTCCAACGCGATTGTGAGCCTTTTCCATCTGACATTTTTCTATTTGTTTCGTTCATTTTGTCATATTGGTCAATGCGTGTTCTGGCGTACCGCTGTCATCGTCATATCCAAGTCCTTTATCGCCCTGCATTTCTGCACATGGCCAAGCTGACCTTGATCCCTTTGTGACAGGGGCAAAACCGCCAACGCTCAGCCTCGACCACATATCCCCTCGACGAACCCTGGCTTTGCCTCCGACGATCCAATGCTCAGCGCAACTCCTTCCAATAATCATTCCATTTTTTCTTTTAGTCGCGATGGAGATTCAGGTCAATTAAACGACTCGACTGCCTCTTTCGATTTCTTGCCCTCTGTCAGCTTCGACGATTTACAGAGTAGCATCGAATCCGCTTCAACAGATTTCAAACTGACCCAATTCCCGTCTCCCAACGGGGAAGGGGGCATCCTCGACACGCACGGGGTCGATAACGCCAGTATGTCTTCTAGATCTCAAGTAGGTCCATCATTGAATGGTGCTGCCACTCGAACTGCCGTCCAAACCAACACTCGACCCGCTCGATCAGGCTCGCTACTGCGACGACCTAGTAATTCCAACAGACCGCCTGCCAATGCCTCTGGTGCTTCTGGTCCGACTGATCATATCCACGGGCCGGGCGCAGCACGCTCTCGTCGACAAAGTCAATACCCGCCTGTCTCCAATACCGTCGTGCCCAAACCTCCTCGAAAGTCGATCGGCCCAGGAATTGTTGGCGATGGGGATTATGGAAGCCGACCTCCCCAGAAGCGACGCCCCAGTCTCTTCTCCGAAGGGACGCCTACGGGCTCGACGAGAGCTTCCATGGACGCCAATTCATCGTGGCTCGATAATACAAGGAATTTCCCCAACTCAAGGGCTGCGAAATCCAAATCAGTACAACCGCCACCACGACCAAATCAAACCAACCTTGGTCTTGGTAACACCCTCACCCCAGAGCAGAACCGACACTCTACCCTGGCCCCGCGATCACCTCGGGTCGGAGGCCGATTGAGCACGCCGTCCTCCGCCAACAAGAGGGTTTCGATGATGCCCGGCGCCCACCATTCATCACATGCGACTGGCCTCGGCGCGAGGACAATTAGTCCCACTGATACAAGGAGGATGAAACGACTCTCGACCATGCCGCAGTCATTGAGTCTTGGTCAGGTTTCTACCCCTCCGCCTCCACCACCAGTGTCGATGAACAATCAGCCTGAGAGAGCTGAATCGAAATCACCTTCCATGATTCCGAGACGAACTTCTGGTACCCCATCATCCTCGAGAACTACGCCAGACCTCCACCGTAAATCCTTCAACTCAAATCTTTCAGTTAACTCGGGCTTCAGCCTGAACTCGGCCAGAACATCGACTGGATCGCTACACCGTATATCTGGTTCGTCATCAACGTCGCGCTTGCCTGCACCAAAACATACCACAGTCCACAATCCTATTCCGACTGACGATGACGAATATGTTCCGCCTGTCCCTGCTATACCGAAAGCCTACGAGTCGCCGAAAGACTCGCCAGCAGACAATTATTTCATGGAGAAGAAAAAGACCGCGCTTAGTAACATGGATGCCATGGGCATGAACTCAAACTCTACTGGAGTCATTTCTATGCCTGTCTTTCCTGAACCCACAAAGCTTCAGAGAAAGCCCAGCGCGCGAAAGAGCTATGTACCGAGTGTAGCGGCTGAGCCTGATAGCAAGGCCACTCCTCCAAATAAGCGACATCTGCAACCTCTAAGACTGCCACCAATTAACCTGGGACCTTTGAGCACCCCAACTGCTAACAAGATTGCAGCATTGCAGGACCACAGCAGTGTAGAACGGCACGAAACTCCACCGCCAGCCCGGCAATTGCCAAAGACACCCACAACCCCTATGACAGCTTCCAAAAGCTCCTTCTTCGCTAAGAGTCGCCATGGCGATACTCCTGAGCTCCCCTCTCTTAGGAGCAGCAGTTCAGTTCATCACACACATCTTACGCCCACACCCCCTGACGCTAGTTCGACCGAATCATCGCTAGCTTTCAAGGAACTTGATCACAAGCAAAGCATGTCACCTTTCTTGTCATCCTCGTTACCCAAGGGGGGCGGAGACCATGGTTTCTTGAAGAGGTCTAAGACGGGAGCCGACTTTATGACTTTGGATGAAAACATGTTCCAAGATCAAATCCACCAGAAGCCAACGGGTCCTCGTGTGCCCAAAGAAGCAGAACCAACTCCCAAATCTCCTCAACCGGAACCTTCGCTGGATGAGCCACAAACACCCTCCTCGATGAGCTCTATTCGACGAAAACTCAGTCTCTCATGGAAGCGTGGGAACTCCAAGAGCAACATTACTGCCCCCACAGATGTGGTTGAGAAAGGCAGCGCGAAGCAACCAGAGGAACCTATGCCTCCTCCCAGGATCCCCATCTCCTCCACTTTAAATAACCTGTCAACTCTCAAGCAAGCCAGTCCTTCCCCAACCGTGAAGCAACCTCCTGGAGGGTATCTTGAGTCACGGAGGCGAAAGAGCTCTGGTGGAAGCCTCAATGGGTTTATATCTCACGACAAGACAAAAAGCGAATCTTGGACTGTGAAGAAAACAGTGCCAGACCCTTCAACAATGCCCGTTGGTCGAAATACCTCAGTCATGCAGAAAATCCTTCGCCCCAGGAATTCTTCTGGCATGTCGAAGGGCCCTGACTCATACTCTGCAGACCTCGACAAGGACGATGTGGCAGCAGAAGAAGAGATGGCTAAGTTGGGTTCCAGGCGCAAAGAGACGGACGTTGCTGCTAGAACCCTCGACGCACTTAGAAAGCGAGCCACCCCCAAAGAGCGAGTTGGCGCCCACGAAGCCATTCGCATTGCCATGCTCAATATTTATGAGAGGGGTGAAATTGTGGACTATACCGATGTGTACTTTTGCGGGACACAGAACGCCCACAAGGTTGTCGGTGATCTCCAGTCTGACGCACCAAACTTTGGATATGATGACGAGCGTGGCGATTATACCATTGTGCCTGGAGACCACCTTGCATATCGATATGAGATCATTGATGTTCTAGGAAAGGGAAGCTTTGGACAAGTCGTCCGATGCATTGATCACAAGACTGGCGGCCTGGTAGCTATCAAGATCATAAGGAACAAGAAGAGATTCCATCAACAAGCCCTTGTGGAGGTCAATATTCTGCAAAAGCTTCGTGAATGGGTAAGCTACAGTCATCAATTACCCTTCAATATCTATGCTAACTTGGTACAGGATCCGAAGAATAGGCACAGTATGGTTAACTTTACACAAAGTTTCTATTTCCGTGGTCATCTCTGCATTTCTACAGAATTACTGGATATGAATCTCTATGAGCTCATCAAAGCCCACGCTTTCAGAGGATTCTCCATCAAAATCATTCGGCGCTTCACCAAGCAGATTCTCAGCTCACTCAATCTGCTCAAGCAGCACAAAGTTATTCATTGTGATCTCAAACCTGAAAATATTCTCTTGCGACATCCTCTCCATGCGGAAATCAAGGTCATTGACTTTGGCTCCAGCTGTTTTGAGAATGAGAAGGTGTATACGTATATTCAGTCTCGCTTCTACCGTTCACCAGAGGTCATCCTTGGCATGACCTATGGTATGCCGATTGACATGTGGAGCGTTGGCTGTATCTTGGCAGAACTATATACTGGAGTCCCCATTTTTCCTGGTGAAAACGAACAAGAGCAACTTGCTTGTATCATGGAGGTCTTTGGGCCTCCTGAGAAGCACTTGATTGAGAAGAGCACTCGAAAGAAACTTTTCTTCGATTCAATGGGCAAACCCCGTCTTACAGTATCGTCTAAAGGTCGCAGACGTCGCCCTTCTTCCAAAACTCTAGGCCAGGTGCTCAAATGCGATGACGAGGTCTTCATAGACTTTCTGCATAGGTGCTTACGCTGGGACCCCGAACGACGCATGAAACCTGAGGACGCGATTCGGCACGAGTTCATTACTGGGCGTAAGATGCCCGTCCCTCGTATGCCGCCAACTCGCGAATCATCACCCATGAAGCGGCATAACACAATCTCGACGCCGCGGCCTCTGCCAGAGCCTCCAGGTGCTGGTGCCAAACCCCCAACGTCTATGCGAACGGGAGCCAGCCCTCACAAACTAGTCTCTGGTGGTGTGCGAAAAACTTCTGGGACCACGGGGCCTATCGGCTCAATGCCAACCAAACGAACGAGCGCCGGTACGGCTGGGCTCGCACAAGGAGCAAGTGGCTTGCCTCGAGCTGCTGGTAGGAGTGTGAGTGCGAAGCAGGACCTGGCCGCTGCGGGTGCAACAGCCGCAATGACTCGACGAACATAGTTTTTATTTGGAGGATGCCTTTTTATCATGATTGGAGTTTAGGTTGCGGTAAACATTTTGCTCTGACCATTGTGCGTGCATCTTTGGGTATCCGATACACTATGCAACGGCGTTGCCAGGGACAGTTTGACTTTGGTCTTCGCCTTACAAACCAAAACCGCATGGATCTTAGCATTGTGGACAAGGCATGGAGGATGCAGAAGAGGGAAGATGGGTTTGGGGCACATGATACATCTCGAGCATTTATTTCAATCCTTGTTACCACGCCTACACGATGGCCAAAGACGCCCGCTTTCCAACCCCTCTGTGATGGATCCGCGGGAGGCAAGTTCGTGATACAAGGAGACAGCGATTAGTGAGTCAACCTAGCTTGGGAATGGGCGGCAACTGTTTTGGGGAAGGGGGTATATCACGAGATTTGACGACTTGTTTCAACTCAACTCAATAGATGTCGTTGTCCGTATCGAATCGGAGAGTATAGAGGTCAAGGGGCTCCCAAGAAGGGTTCGGACACCCAGACAGAGTATGGCTAACACCAATGAGCCTTCCAGGCAGGCAACCAGATAACCTTACACATAATGGAACATTCGAGACTAGACTCATTGTTGAATCTGGATTATTGACTGAGGCCTCCCTTCCATGAGTACAGTCATTGGTGCTTGTGCAAGACTCGCTAACATGTACGACGTCAGATGCTTATTTGATCGTCAAACAGCTGAGTTTCCGAAGCTCGAAGGATGGGACAGTTTCGAGAAACGTCGCCGCGGTTGCAGATCAGCCTTACGCCTTATGATGTGGGACAGATGACGGGCCACGCCTGTGATCACGAATAGGATCGCGGTTGCGTCAAGATCAAAAGAAGAGGCGCGAGGCACGGCGGCAAATGTTGTGCCAGGGGGGTCCATGTAACGAACGGTCTTGTGCTAACTGTAAGGGGTGACATCTTTCGCTGGGAGGGAAATATGGGTAGGGTTGAGGATGTAAACGCATTGGCAAACAGCCGCGCCACCAAATACAAAGAAAAAGGCCAGGCGATGGAGCAGGGAGCCATGCATGCCCCCTGATCAATAACGTCGGTCCCGGCGAGTGGGAAACAGATAGTCAGAAAGGGGTAGATGTGAAAATGATTAGCAAATCAACAACAGGAGCTAGGCTCATTATAATATTAGAAACAGGTCCGGCCGAGAGATCAGTCTGATATCTGTCACAGTAAGGTATGCTCAAACGACTGTATGTGTGCCGGTATCGTTCTTAGATGGGTTTATGAGTCCAAGGCAGACTGAGCTGAGTATGAGTATCCCTAAAAAGAATCAAGATGCACAAAGGTGGAGTCATTAGAGTGCCTTGCGTCTTATTGTGATAGGTATGAATTTTTAGGCGTTAAGTAGTCACTGTAATAGAACAGATGAGGATTAGAAGTTGTCATGATATGTGAAGTCAAGCTTTCTCCGCCGGGGACTCCGGGAGAAACAACGGGGGGGCAAGCCACGGCGGGAGGCGCAGCCCGTGGGGCATCCGATTAGACGACAGGGCTGTCCTATAGGTTCTCGGACGAGGCTGAAGGTCTTGAATCGCTGTGCGACATGACTGTGAGGTCATCAAACCCTCCATGACGATGATGGTAAGCCGTCAGGGCCGTATTGTGCGTTGAGTAAAGAATAGATCCCACGATATGATCATGACACTCTAAACCCCCAGACTATGCGCAAAAGCGCAATGTTTTCGTGTCGTATAGCAGCAAAGCAGTTTAGGCAGACGAGGAGTGAGCATCTTGGACAACCATCCATGACAATGATGGAGGGCTCTGGCTTGCTTTCGTCCGTGCTCGCTCACTCGTCATCTGCCTTCCCTTCTGACCCAGCCAGACTGTCTGGACCTTTACTTGGCTAGGTAGTCACTGGAGCCCTTTTTCTCATCCTGCATGCGATGATGCTCCAGCCTATGTGGTTTCTGGTACCTCTTTACGTAGCTACCTATGACTCTTTTTCTCTTCTCCTGGTTCTGATTAGGAGACGTCTGACTCTGGCACTCAGTTTCAACCGTTAACCAGGGTGTTGACCAAGAATAGCCTTACAGCATTCAGTATTCCGAGAGAATGGGTACACACTAATTACCATGGATGCCAATAATAGTCTCATCGCGAAGTTTGGAGAACTTTGGAGGGAACATGTGCCTGAAGACTTGATTCCCAATCAGGACCAGTTGGTTATGCTTGAGCCAATTGAGCATTTTCTTCAAGTGGTGGTGTCTTTGGCAAGACATGTAACGGCAACGGACCGTCGATGGTGGTGGCCAAGTGAGACATTGTGTACAGTAAGGTAGTGACCGATCAATTAATTCTTGACTCTGTGCGCGTTCTAACAGATTTAATTATCGCTCACGAAATTGCCATGTAACAGTAAACGTTAGCCTACAGCTGGAGGCAACTTGAGTCTCCTGTATAGTAGAGATATATTACATGGCCTGTTAAGCCAGGAATCCGTTAAACACATCGTAGATGGGATGTGGCCCATGCTGTGCGTTACAACATATATGATCTTTCCTACTCAACCGATAGGCATGCGGCACTCAAAACACTGAATTCTCGTCATTCACAATCAATAACTAGGTACGGTACGGCACGTCTTCTCAGAGCCCCGATGTCAGCGAACTCACTGCCCGGAGCCCACGTGAGGTGCCTACTTACCTAGGCGAGAATGCTGACCTAAGAAAGTCAGATGCCTGTTATCCTACCTATGGCCGCGGCAGGGAACACTGTTTCCCGTTCCAATAGGAATTCAGGTTTCGCTTTTGGGTGAGACAGACTTGAGGTAGGGAGCGGTGAAATTTTCGGGAACTTGTCAGCGTTATGAGGCAACTATCCGGACGAGTCGAGTGTGAGAAAACGTACCTGAGCATCCAGAAAGCCACCAATGCAAGGCTGGGCCGGCTGCCTCCACATTTGGATTCAATGAGCAAAGAGTCAATGTCGAACTGTGTACAGTAGTAGAGTAGGTACCAGGTAAGGTAGTCTACTAGTGCTGACTGGTCAGTCCTGAACAGTGTACTGTACTCGGAAGACTTTCAGGGATGCCCGATGGTGGTAGTGTGGATGCATGTCAGTTGCGCGGAAATGTTGTATGACAGACTTGGTTGAGTGAGGTGTGTGTGCTCAGTTTCCAACACTTTGGTCTTGGAGGGGGGGAAGTCTTGGTCGATCTGAGACCATCAGACGTTCACTCACTCGATGGGTTCCCCAACAATTAGACTTGCTCCCTACCTAGATAGATAGGTAGGGACTATATATTTCTTTACAAGCTGCAACAATGAGGAACCCACATGCGATTTCATGCCCCTCTAAAGACTTTGCAAAGACCACAGTCCATCATCAATAAAGCATGAAAACATTATCAGATACCACGGCTCCATGTCATAACAATCCAAGTGTGCACTCGTGAAGAGTGCAAGCATTGCCAAGGCCTGGGGTGGGATGCAGACACAGCCTTATGATGGACAGGGGACCCTGTCGCTATGACTGTCAGCAGGTGATAGGGCGGGTAGTATTCTTAAAGTTGTGGTTCCGAATCTGATTCGTTTCTACCGTTTTCCATCGATATCGGCTCATAAGGTAAGGTAGGTAGGTAGGCAATATTGGAAAAGTCGTAGTCCCAATATGACAAGTATATCTCGTCTTGGGGCCATATCGACTCGAGGCCCAGCAACATGGCCATCTAGGGAGCGGGCGAATGTTTGGTTATATCCATATGAGCTATTGAAGAGTTGTTGTCATCTGTGGAATCGTGAAAGAATTGAGTCCCTCCCTGGGTAATGATCGAGACCCATACGATTCTAGGTAGGCCCGCTAGCCGGTAGCTCCCCGACTCTAATTTGAGATGGTGGCTTTTCACTATTGCACGGTAGGTAGGTTGGAATTACCTAGCTAATGCTTGTCGGTATGAAACAGGAAACAAGAGATAGAGAAACCACATCAGATTCCAGGGACTCCAGTGCCCTAGCACCGGGACGTTGGGCGCAGCAAGGCCTGCCCACCATCACCATAAGTGCCGAGCAGCAAGGGTTAGCGCTGAGCAGTGCTAATTATATTACTGCGTGTGACGCTTTCTTAGACCCGACACATCCATCTTTGTATCGATAAGGTATTGTAGCACTCATGGTATTAGGTTAGTATATGGAAACTTGATCTAGGTCACTTATTCGGTTAGGAATCATTCAATATTGGATGGCAGGTGGACGGTCTGCATTCCCGATATGGCATTTCAGGCGTCATTTAGTGATATTGTGGCTGGGGGTTTGTTTTGCTGTCGTCGGGTGTTTCAAAGTCCCCATTGTGCTGCGTTTAGGGGGGGGATTGGTGTATACAAAGGACCTAGAAAACGTTGTTACTCATTGAGGACGAGAATAGAGTCTCTCTGCCTGTTCTGCCTGTTGATATTTCAGGGCACGTGTGAATGGATGGCCTATGTTAGTACCTGGTAAGTGTCACTGTTGTAGGCCGACTGAGACTTCAATGGATGAGCCAGGCGAACCATTGCCTTGAATGACTAACTCTCCAAAGTCCCCTAACTAAATTTTGAAGCCATTCCGTAATTTAGTAAGGTAGGTACTTTCTCCACGTACCTTAACGTCCCAATCCTCCTACGAACGAAAAGACCCTGATTAACACATCCTCGTCATATCCTCCATGAGCGCATCTCTTCCTTTGTCATCAACGCTGTGCGCTTCTGTTCTCTCATGGGTCTAGACCTCTTGGTTACAGGCCCCGGCGCTTCACATACGTCATAAGTCTGCATCTCTCGCCAATATTCATTGATGGTGGTACTTCTCCAACGGTAAGAAGATTCATGGTCGCCGTCACAAGCTTTTGAAGTCACCCTCGGCCGATCAAGACAAAGTCGTTCAGTCAATCCGCTCTTACATGCATGCAGCTACGATACGTACAGGAGGTACCAGCATGGTACCATGCAATGCAGTATAATAGTGGAAGAGGGTGCAATTTCAAC